ATGTCATAAGGCGTAACTTGTAAAACATGATGAAAACCAATTTACTGTTCCTCGAAATGATGACTATTATAGATGATGAAACCGTTTATCATACTTGCAGTGAGAGTGAGTGTCAATACCGTGTGTACGTGTGAACCTTTCCTTCACGCGCACTCCACACCTTGAGCTTAGAACTTTCAAACCTGGACATTGCTAGTAGAAAGCCTAACTCAAAGTGTGTCTTAGATAAAACTTTCACTTCGATCGGAAGACTTAGTGAGGAGATAGGCAGGCTTGACCTTAGGGCATTGATGAGGCCAATGCGGTTTTAGCATAGAATTCATCTCTTTAACTCTTAAGTTCAACAAAAACGATATGTATATGAGTGCGTTTTATAGGTCTTGGTGAGCTCCATAGCCAGACGTAGCTTTCACGGCTATTTCACATACATAGTGTTTATGTTGTATTTTTGGAATTCTTACCCAATATGTAAGACCTATAGCTTAACCCGATCACGTCCACTTTTTGCACTCAACATCGTCAGGATGACCTTTATTTATACTAGACAGTAGAGTTCATTGTGAAGCTGTTGAATTCCTTCATTTTATAGTGAAATAATGGAACCTTTTAAAAATCGGTTGTCAAAGTGTTTTTCAGAGTCTAGCTGGATATCTTAGAATGCAGACGATGTTTTGACACGCTAGTAGCTTTTCTGTAGACCTCGAGTCGTATATGACTCGATGCCACTGAAGAGACCTACAAAATTAAGTTTTAACAATTCGTGGAGGTTTTATAGTTGTAGTTACAAGGGACTTTTAAATCCAAAAAATGCATGTCATATACACTAATTTTTTGTATAATTTGTGGTTTTCAATTCCACATAGTACCAAGTGTAGACAATAAGCAGAATTTTAAAATAACAGATTTTGTAAAGAAAACTAAGAGCTTTCGATCAAAGTGAAAGTTTTATCTAAGACACACTTTGAGTTAGGCTTTCTACTAGCAATGTCCAGGTTTGAAAGTTCTAAGCTCAAGGTGTGGAGTGCGCGTGAAGGAAAGGTTCACACGTACACACGGTATTGACACTCACTCTCACTGCAAGTANACATATTAGGCAGCAAGTAGTTTTTGACATCAACTGGATGAGTCATATCAATCATAAATTGACGATCAGAAACCAATGCTAGAACAAAGCAAGTGATAATTCCACGAAGCCGATCGCCCAGACCACTACAGAACGATTTATATTTATAGATAAGCTTTGATCCGTTAAATTTGCAAAGTGTAGTCCACAGAGAACTTATGTTTATAGAGCGCTGTCAAAAATCGTGAAAATGTCCACTTTGCCTACTGTTCGTTATTGAATAAAAGGACTTTACTAGTCATGCAAAAAAAAACACTAAATTCATGCTACACTTTGATAATATACTCCACTTTTCTTTCTCTCAAGGAAATTTTCCATTTACTTAACCGACTTTAAGTGGATTTAAGTGCTTTCACGCGTCACTTTTCTGTGGTTGGAAGAAATTTCCCAATGTAAAGAAAGTAAAGAAAAAAGGAACTAGATCAAATCGATAACTATTTCATTGAAAATCAATTAAAATCGTATACCTTAATTCAATTACAGTCAAAAGTAGTCGAAAAAATTTTCTCTTTCGGATCTCACTATCTACTAGAAATACGAAACAAAACTCTTCAAATTTTGATCTGGTAACAGTCTTTTTTTCACTGAAGTAACAACGAGAAAAAAAAGAAATATAGAATACAGTAAAACATCCCACAGTGGACACTTCGTGGTCCGAAGGGACAATTTTTGCTGGAATCGAACCTCTGCATAATAAACACTTTTTCTCAGGGCCGTTGGGATAAAATACGTCTCTTTAGTGCACATTTGTTTAAATTAAGAGAGTATCTTGTGATAATCACGATCAAATCTAGCACACTCATTTTGTTTATGAATTAGATATACGAATGAGAGAAAAAGACACGTATACTTTATAGAACAGACGAGTGAAAAAGATAAAGAGCACGATAATAATCATGTTCCATTTGTCTAATTTCGCAATCATAACAAGAGAAAAAGAAAAAGAGAATCATGCCGAATCGAAAAGCGTTAACTTTGGAACGGAAAATTGCACTCATCAACGATAATCAAAATTGCTACGATTTATCGATGCGGCAGTTGGCTGCCACATATGATGTGCCAAAAATTAGTGTCGCCAATACTCCGTATCGCCATGAGGAATCCTTGTCTGATTATGTCTCTGACTCCAACAGAAGGATCAAACGTAAGTACAAAGATGAAAATGGACAAACGATCGATGAAGTTGTCTTCGAATGGTTTACTATGCAACGTGCCAAACAAATTCCCATTTTTGAACTTATTTTATAAGAAAAAGTGAGGCAATTTGCTGAAGAATTAGGATATCCATCGGATATATTCAAAGCTTCAAACGGTTGGCTGGGAAAATATCTTATTCGTCATGCTATCTTCTTTCGAGAAATTTACGTCGAAAGCGCTTCTATCGAAAATTCCTGTATCGAAGAATGAACAAAAAGACTTCCAATAGTACTTAATTAATATGATCCAAAAGATGTGTTCAATGCAGATGAAACTGAATTGTTCTACCAAGCAACATCTGATCGTTCATTGGTTTTATTGAAAGAAGAATGTACAGATGGAAAGAAAAGTAAAGAAAGATTTACTGTTTTGCTGTATTTCAACTGAACCGGTGCTGAAAAATGAAGCCAGTTGTAATTGGTAAGAACATGTTTATTGCATATTTCTAAGCTTACATGGTTTCTATGTAATTTTAGGCAGGAGCCAGCATCCTCGATGCTTCAAGAACATTGCTAAATCTAAATTCCCTGCGACATGGCTGGCAAATCGCACTGCTTGGATGAACTGCAATTTCTTCGCCAACTAGCTTACTACCATTAGTAATCAAATGAAAAAAAAAATCGCAAGATTCTTCTATTCCTAGACACTGCACCTTGCCACGTAGTTAATCAAGACTTTTCAAATATTAAGCTTGCCTTCTTTCGTCCAAATACTATTTCGAAATGTCAAGCATTGGATGAAGGTGTCATTCACTCGTTTGAATGTCATTATCGACAGAAACTAGTTAAAAATATTATTGCTCAATGTACTGTTGCTCGAACTGTTGATCAAATATCAATCACTATCCTCGACATAATTAAATGGATCGATTTATCGTGGAAGACTGTAACTGAATTTACAATTTGATATGAATTTCAAGCTGCTGGTTTCGTTAACCCCTATTGTACAGCTTCTTTCTCGACGATCGTTATTGATGCCATCACCGAACCTGACTTGCAATCAAACAATTCTGATGATTCTCTATAAAAAGTTGATTTTTTATTAATTTATCCTCAGATTGGTAGTCAGCAGCTAACAGCTGCTGAATTTGTCGACATCAATTCCTCTATTCCTGTTTTCAATGAATGAGATGACGATGAACATCTGAAAAGATTGATCGAAGTTTCTCAGCAAGAAGACAACGAAGAAGAAGAAGAAATATATTTGGCAGAAAATTCACCTAACTTCTCTGAAGCATTTGAAATGATGAGAAAATTTTGTCTTTTTTGCAGCCACTCAACAACCTCAACTGCATAGTCTTACATCGGATCTGGAATCGAAATTAACTGACATCTATATTGACTCAAAAGCATCTAAACAAAGTTCTATCAAAGATTGTTTTTCCACTTCTTGTTTTTTCTATTATTTTGTCAAAACAAAATAATAAATGAAAGAGAAGTAAATATGTGATCTATGTGATTATCTTATTTCTTAAAACTCCAAATATCTAAAACTATGTCTGTTTGTTCTAAAAACTTCCTTTTGTCGAAAAAAAAAGCTTAACCTCATTCGTCATATCGAAGAAGAACGAGTAAGACGTGTTCTTTTCATCGTATTTGTCGTTATGTCGGCTATATATCCTTGCATTCTTTATTCAATATCGTTTGTCCTTTGTGTTATTTACACGTGATTTATTTATCCATTACATTCGATTTAATTGACTAATTAGTTAATTACTTAAACGTTCCCCGGCTTGGCCGACACATTGAATAGCATATATAATGCTACTTATCCCCAACGTACGATTATCCAGTGATTCAAAATTCTCCTGTTAACAACACTTTGGTTCATGATCAATTCTTATCTAATCCAACTTCTGCTTCTTCAAATGTTCAACATCTTCAATCACAACAAATATTATTACAAAAATCTTCTCCATCCTCGATTAACCTCTTACTACAGGAGCAAATCTGTTTCTCAAACTTCAACAAAACTGGTAACCAACAGCCTACGTATCACGATCCATACTTTATCTCCAACTAACAGCAACAAACAAATTTATCTAATGTTATTTCACATAGTCAACAACTTGCGACATCTAGTCAATTCTCTCCTTTTCCCATTAATATGACACGTCATCAATATATTCAAAATGGAGCGATACCAGTGAAAAGTGATAATGGGGACAAATTTATCCTAATCAAGAAAAATAAGATAAAAAAAAGCAAAAATTGATCCAGCACCTGCTGTCACACCTAATAATGGTACATCATCTTTTTCTATTTCACCGTCATCAATTAGCACGAACAAATTTACGTCTTCAACAAATTCAGATAGTATTGTGTTAAATGTTCATCCAGAAAATAAAACCGTTCCAAATATTAGTCGTACACAAACATTTACAAATGAAAATATAGCATCAAACTCGACATACAATTCAACTGAAATATCTGAACAAGCACGTTGTTTTGCTGAAACACGCTTTGCATTTCCACCTTTTGTAATCAAATTTAACCAGATTGGAGATGAAAAAACGATTATCAAATTCGTGGTGAATCATTTCTTGTCCGAGTATAAAATAGATTTGAATTTTGTAGGGTACTGTTTGAAAAACAAAAATGACTTATTATTATTTAGTGCTAATCGTAAAACATTTCTTATGTTATTCGACGAACACAAGTGGACTACAACTATTCAATGAATGAATTACGAAAAAATTATTTCAAAACTTTTACTTCCTGAATTTTCAATTGTGTTGCGTTGTGTTCCTGTCGACATTGAAATTAATTCACTATTAACAAACATTAAAACTGATTATCCGGATGTACTTGGTGCTTTTAGAATAACTGGTATGAATAAAAGACTTCCAACTTTAGTTCGATTAGATATCCAAAATATTTCTGTTATCGATAAATTACTTGATAAGAAATTTAACTACTATGAAAATCTTCGTTTAGGTACAGTCGAATACCTGACTCCTGCTAAAGTTCTTGTTTGCACGAAGGGCTTCGAAATCTGGCATTAGAAGCCCTTGTAGAAGTGATCTTGATCATTGTCGAAAATGTGGCGTTGGTGTATCAGCTATCAAACAACATGTAGAACAGTGTACCAATAAATTGTGTTGTGTTAGATGTCAATGACTGCATGATGCTAATAATGTTACATGTCCAAGTATTAAATTTTATTGTTCAGTATTAACTAAATATCTATTATCAACAGCTGCTGCACCTGTTCATCAACAAAATGTTCGTGCTGATTTTCATCTTAATGATCTAGATTTTCCTGTAGTAAATGGAAATTTAAGCAATATTCCTTATCGTACTAATAATTCATTTATTAATACGGGTAAAAAAATTAACGAGATGTTTATTAAAATGAAATATTTAGACGATAATATGAATCGTTTAATTGATCTAAATAATAAATAACTGAATCAAATTACATACATCCAACAAGTACCAATGAAGCACGAGCATCAATTACAAATACAACAAACTGATATCTCATTTTAACATAAATTTATCAGCCAATTTATATCTCCAATATGTCAAGTATTAGCAGACGTAATACCAGTGTTAGTGGAACAAATATCATCAATTATAAAACATTATTATGTCCTTCCTTAACAGCATTATGTGAAAAACTCTCAACTAACTTACCAGTATGAACGAATCTATTTGTTCAAAACGAAAATATTAAAGCAAAAATTATAAATGCATTTAATGTGAAAAATCAACTTAATCCTGTTTCCCTCACCAACAACGTTCAACTTCATCCACTCAACCAATAACCTATACAACAACTCATCATGAACTCTCTCCTCCTGTCCCTGCCTACAATCGTGGTATTAAGGTAAAAAAGAAAAGTTTTGATATTGAGTATGCACTTTCTCTCGTCTCTTCATTGTTATCTAAAGTAGAATTTAGTTTATTAACGGAAATTGTAAACGAATGTTTCTTCTTCCCTACTCTTTCTTCATGTTTTTCTCATTGGAAATCCTTCAAACAGTTATATTCCCATTCTTTCTCTTCTCAATTATATACACTTCTCTTCAATGTACGGGGTTTAGATGAAAGATGGGATGGGGGGGGGGGGGTGCTTTTACTTCTTGAAAAATATAAAGTAGACGTCTTAATTCCGACTGAAGTACGATCATTCAAGTTTTCTTTAATCAATCAGATCTTCGTAGATTTCAAAGATTTTTATCAGATAGGCGAAAATTCATGGGGAAGAGTATTGATGTTATCTAAATGAAGTTTATCAGTCGTGATAGTTAAATGTGAAACTCCGAACATACGCATTGTGAATGTCAAACTAGAACAAGTAATGCATCTATTGGTGTTTACGCACCTAAAAGTAAAATATGACGTTGAAATACTCTATCTAATTATATCACTGACAGTTGTAGTTTGTTTGGCGATTTTAAAATTGATATAGATGGTAAAGCGGATGAAATAGCAGCAAAGGATCTATTCAGCCAGGCTAATCTAGGTGCTTTAGCTCCAGTTTTACCGGTTAGTCATACTTCTCTTAGATCTAATCGTATAATCGATTACGTCTTCACTCGTGGTATTCCACTTACGATACAAACGTGTGCAGATAACACAACCAGCTATCATAAACCCATCATAGGTGTATTAAATTGTAAAAGTAAAGAAAGCGCGCTAGGAAGTAACACTCACTGGAGAGTTTTTAACTGTTTTATGTCATTAACTGTGAAATTTTGGGAGAATGAAAGTAAATTAGCCTCATCAGATGAGTACTATAAGAATTTCATTAGCGCTCTTGATTATTTGAAAACGAGATGCATCACATATTTTACCATCCAAGAAATATCGCGCCTCCACCCCGACAAAAATGAGAATGAAATTATCGCTAACTCGAGTTTTATCTTTCCAACATAAAAGAACTGGTAATGTTCTATTGCATAAGAAAATCAAAGAAATGTAAAGAAATAATAGATTGAAAATAATTGCTATACGATCTCGAAAATTAATGAACTCTCTAAATGAAAGATTTTCTTCATCCGCCTCTCCCAATTCGTTTTGGTCAAAAATAAGAAAAAGTTTCAAAACAGCTCACTCTCTTGAAGCTCTAATTGATAATAGTAATGTCATTGTCAAAGATGTTGATACTATACTATACATAGCAGCTACTCATAATGGAAATCTGTTTGCATAATCTCAGCTTTATAGACCTCCCTCGTATGTAGATAGTCCTGAAGTACATTGGAATAATCGTTACGAACCAATTTCACCGATAACAATACCAGAACTATTAAAAGTAGTGAGCAAAGTACAGAAACAACATTCAATGGATGCACATGGAATTTTGCCATATATGTTCAAATTTATCCCCAATAATTACATGGTCCTTCTTCTACAAATTTTCAATGATTCTCTTATAGCGTGCTCAGGCTCCTTCTACTAGAAACACGTCAAAATGAAACTATTAGCAAAAAAAGAGTCAATATGCTTAGTAACTGAGACACGATCCATCTTCTTATTAGACATCTTTTTAAAAGTCCTAGAAAGATTATTCCTCAGCCGATTCAAGCGTCTTCTTGAAAATAGAGGATTATTACATGATTCTCAATCGAGATTTAGATCAAATTTTAGATTATAATCTCGTGTACTAGTTCTGATCGATCAAATGTCGTCACTTATGAGCGCCAGTGCTCCTGTCGCCAGAGTTTTTATCGATTTCAAACAAGCTTTTGATTAGTTGTGGTGGACAGGCTGCTTAGGTAAATTATCCCAGTTAGGCATCGCGAAGGCATACATGTTATGGATCGAAAGTTGGTTAAAACAGAGAACATTTTTCATAGAAATGAATGATAAACGTTCAAGATTGTTCTCGATCTTTAAAGGTGGTCCTCAAGGATCTTGTTTAACATCAGCTATATTTATTACGTATTACAGTGATATTTAGTCTTACCTTCAAAGTTCTCTCCCCAATTTCTTTGACGATGATCTTGCTTATATCATAGGAGGTATGATCGGAGTTAAATACCTCTAGACAATGTCTAGACTTAGAAGAAAAATTTAAAAGATTGTTCGATTGCCTTGAGTACTATTCTACCCTAGCAGTGCAACCTATTAATTACAAGAAAACAGAATTACTCTGGACAGCCAGAGCTATAGGTAAACCTCAATTCAACATAGCTATGGGTGAACATCAAATAGCCTTGGTAGACAATTTTAGATATTTAGGTTATCATTTACCGTCGAAACTAAGTTGGGGTAAAATGATCTCTACATTTACAAGTAAGAACAGACAATGTGTTGCCATAGTTAGATCTTGCAGTTTCTATGGCACGTCTTCCCTAAAATTAAGATGCGTTTTGTTCTCTACGTATATTTTACCATTATTTATGTGGCTGTATGGCATCTATCCGTTATTCGCAGATTGTGAAAGAGATGATTTAGGTGATTTTTATTTCACTTTCTTGAAATGAACTTTAGGTATTTACTTTTGGAATGATATAGTTTTCATTACTATCTGTAATGAGCTTTTATTCGAAAGTTTATGTTGAAACTATTGGTTTTAACAGGGTTTACAGATGGGTTTATTCTTTTTGAACAAGCCTCACATAACTTGTATCAAAAGTTATGGTTAGACAAAGATATAGTAATCAAACACTTACGTAGATCTAAATGTTTTGTACAATATGACACTAGTATTGAGAAATGCCTAAAATGGGCAGAATTGTGTCGTTCGAATTCTAGTTCTTTGATTTGCGAACGTGATACAGAAATCCTGGCGATATTTCTGGAGTCATTTATATTGTCTTAGAGTCAGACATATCTCTTCATCTTCCTTTCTCTTCTATTTTCCTCTCCTTTTGTATCTGATAGGTGGTGTGTGTATTTTTTATACTGCTAATATTTCTCTCTTCTTCTTCAGTTGTCATCTTGCCACTGTCTACTCATTTTGGAGGGTATTAAAAGGTCTTTGGGCATTAATTCTTAAAAAAGCTTAATAAGAAAAAATATACTTAACTTCTCTATAGTGAACACTTTTAAAAAGTCCACAAGGTGTTCACTATAGATAGGTTTTACTGTATTTGATCTTTAATAAATAGGGGTATCATGTCAACATTAGCATTAAAATAATGCTAATGCTTGGGTAATAGTATTTATTTTTAATTCCAATACATATACTACATGTAAGCTATGGACTGTTATCTTTGCACACTTCCTTTAATTTTTCAAGGGCTACCTTGTAGTACTATTTGTAACTTTTCAAGGATTACCAACGGTATGGGTTTAGATTTCATTGCTCTGTACTCGCATACCGATATTCACATCCACACCCACTCACATCTACTTCCACATCCTACACCTACACTCAGATCTCACACCCACACCCTATACCTGGTGGTCTAACATTGTTCCATCCTCATCAAGCAAACAAAGTTAATTACGAGACACTTTTGAACTTTTGTTTCGACGGTGAGAAAGATGAGAATAAGAAAATAATTAAATTTCGACAAAATATTCAGTCAATAAAATTTTGTGGACAAACTGTCCTGTCAACGAAAAACATAGGATTCGTTCTATGTCATATGAACCAGAGATCGAAGACGAACCGGAACGGTCTGTAACAGATCGATTCGGTCTCTGACTTCTACCTTCATAAACAGCAGAACATGATAGATACATGTTTATATTATTTTCTTTTCATTTTTCACAGATATTTGTGATATTATGTGGGCTGAGCCATTTTTGCAGAGGAAACGGCAGAATCTAAATTTTGGATCTAATCCCATGGCATGTTTTGAGGGTTTTTCTCTTCACCTTTACAGTCCTAGTGAGGCAATGACAAAGTAACGAAGATCAAAGAATAGTTTTGAGACTTCTCTGTAGTGACTCAAGCCGGTTCTGCCGCAAGTTGTCACAGAAATTAAAGTCAGAAAGAAAAAATTACACTCATAGACATGATCATCGAAGAAATCTAATAAATTTTATGGAAGTTACGAAAAATCATCATTGATTAAACTAATCATTAATCCATGAATACTGATCAGTGAGAATTCGAGTATGAATTTGTACTATGTGAAAATGGTATTGATACTTTGATAACAGATTACGGATATGAGCCACGAGAATAAGTTTTATACATTCAAAAGAAAAAAATAATTTAGAAAGAAACTTTTGAATCCAAATTACCATATAAAAATCAGAGGTTAAAAGTGAATAGGTGCTATTGCTTGTGTAACACGATGTTGCGGAATGTTTTCTTTATTCAATTAGATATGTAGTAAGCCATTTTCTTTCCCACCATGCAATAGAAGACTGCGAGTCATTTATTGAGTCTCATTTATTCCTATAAGTTTTAATTAAGAAAATTTTTCGGAAAATCAAAACGATTTTGACAATTTGGAAAGCGATTGCTAAAGTTTTGAATATCCAGAAATACTGTTAATCTGAGTCTGTTAGAATTTTTAGCTCAAATTCCTGAAAACTAACCGTATTCTGATGTAAATATCCTAATTTTAGCGCCCGTTTTTCGAGAAATTAATTAATTAAGGAAGAACTTTCTATTAGGTCCGGTGAATTGTATCTCTAAAAGGAGAGAAAGGTTTTGTTCGACTGATATCCACGTTATCAGTTATTGGGTAACGGAAATATTTCTACTGATCGAATAGGAGGACATTAAATATGAATAAAGCAACAAAGTCTCGTTTCTAGTGATAAGCCTCACGTACTATCAGTGAATGAGGAAATAGACCCTATTAACTATTCATTTCTTCAGGTTATAGAAATTTGCATCTGATAGTGGACGCGCTTTTTTTGGCAAAAATAACAATTTTTTTCATTTGAAGAAAGGATATCGGGGTCGAGAAGCCTGATTCCATATATGGCTTATTGAAATTTTCCCGTTGAATTTTTTTATCAGTGAATCTACTTTGCGAAAAGGGCGTTTTTTTCATGAAATTCGCCTAAATTGTGGGAAAGTGTTTTTTTGCAACAAAAAAGGCTTTCCGCATGATTCCTGCGAGGTTAAAATGCGCAACACGATTGAATCATTCCACTCGTTTAGCAGGACTCTAGTCACATGGATCATTGTGACACTGGGAAGTAGTATTGATTCTTTTTGTCTGTCTGTCACGATCTGTGGCGTTAAAAAACTCTATTCACTCTGCTTGTCTGCTATGCTCTTTGGTACGGTGATTGAATTTTCTCGCTATATACCTCAACGCTCATTAACAATCGTGCTTCGCAAAACTCAATAGGGATACCTCAATAAGCCATACATGGAGCTCGAAATATAACTCGAACGCTTGGAAGAGTTGGTGGAGTATAGATTCCGATCCCTCATTCGCAAATTTGTTCGTGACTACTATCAACAGTTACGAGATCTTGATGCTTTTTTTTTCTTCAGTGTCTCTCTCTTAAACAAGTATGAACGTTTTCGTTACCTCTTAACTAGAGGTGTATCTTTCGTATTCCATTCCCAGAAGCCCGAACGAGAACTTTGCCATCGCTAATTCTTATTGTCTACTTGATTTTACTAAGTATAATCATTGTTGTTTTATTCATGCTCATAATTGATCCATCACAATATTAGTCAATGTCGTTCATATGGATTCACTTACTAGTCGGACGCACAAAGAACAACGAAATAGTAAAATAGGGTTAAATGAGACAAGCACAAAACTATAAATGAATACGGCATATGAAGTTAAGGCAATATAAATAATTGCTTAAACGGGGTCTCTTTTCTATTGCAGAAAGAGAAAGATTTATTCACTGTGGCTCATTATCATTAAGAGAGACGCTAGAGAACTAAAATACAGGGGAGAAAATATCATATACTAAAGAAAAAGCAAAGAAAATATATTTAAATAATCGCGATACATAAATATAAGGTAAAATAAATAATTGCCAGTATTGAGACATGTTTGAATAGAACAACTTACACTTCTTCAGGGGGACTCTTATCCTTCGGAAAAATGATGAGAGAATCACAATGAAATAGCCTGCCGCGAAATATCAGAGTAAAATATAGTTCTACATCATTACGACATAAATACAGTAAAAATAAGTAATTAGTATATTATTCACTTTTTCAACTGCGCCAAAGTATACTAATTCACTAGAATCTATGTTCTGTAGAATAAATGAAAGAGAACTAAAACAATATGATAGATTATCGCATATAAAGTAAAACAATTGCTTCAATTCATTGTGACATAAAAATTAAAGAGAACCAGTAATTATTGACCTAGGGAAGTTTTCAAATGTGCTGCACGCATTCAAATAGTGTCACCCTTCACCTAGAAAAGAAAGAAACACGAACTATTATAGTACAGTGCGAGAAATAAAAACAAAGTTCCTCCCTTCAATTAGCAGGACATGATATATGGGAAAAGTATACAATAAAATACATGCCTTGGGTGTGAACGTGATTACATCTAACACCCACATCCTTATCCATTTCAGAGTTGCCTATCAAAGATAGTACACGACACGTTGTCCATTTGGTATTGATCACTTAATTCTATTTTCGTTCTCCTCTGGGTGAACTTTTTTGCAAACCGTTCACTTTATTGTTCTTGTCTCATTCTAGAACTCAAAAAACGTTGAGTCTAATGAAATGGAAGTGAAAATTTAATCGTTAATATACCACTGGTGTAATACTCACATTATCCCGAATAAAGGAAATGACGGAATTCCGCACTATATAGTTGAAATATTCTAATTCTTTTGTCCTGCCAAGACCCGAAAGAACGAACTCGAACTCAACATTTACTTACGAGAAACTATTTAATAAGTGTTCAACTCGAGAAACATTTCCAAGGTCTTCTCTTTTATCGAGATCTCAGTGAATCTCTGGACAATCAATATCCTATCTAGCTCTATTTATGTTTGAATAACAGTGAGAGAGTCAATGGTTTTCATTATCATCTATTAGAAGTCATGATTTCATAGCAGTCAAATCCTTAAATATAGCTAGTAAGAATGAAACTAAAAATGAACTTGAAACAGTATTGTGAAGATACAATAATTTACATTGATTTATGTACATATTATCTCTGCTACATGCAAGTTAAACAAGTTTGTCGGCGAAGAAACATTCTCTATCAAATATAAACATTTCATATGTACACTCGGTGTTTTTCGCCACAGATTAGTAACCAAATCGTGCTTGTGTTGGAAGTCTATTGCGTACATATGATTAATTGCTCTATATCTCAACTTTTATTCCTTATTACTGTCAACTAGTATACTTATTTAGATAGTGACAAACCACTTTATACACTATGTTGAACATCGATTTATTAGACGTCAATTTTTATTCACTAAACTACTATTTAGTAGCGCATCAAAATGGTCTGATTGCATCCATTTACAGCCTACAACGGAAAAGCAAAAAGTGCAAATTTCAACATTGATAAAAAGAGAACAGAATGATAAAAGTTCTTTTTTTCGACAATTCAAAGAGAACGAGAACAATCAACAAACTACGAGCTAGGTTAAAAGTAAATGGTTGAATTCGTAAAATGTCAACATAGATTAGATAAGAGCTAAACAAGGTATGAATTTGAATGTGTTCTTGTATCGGTATCCGTCTACCTATAGTGAAACGTTGCTTCTACTTCACATTATCATATGTGGTTTGATTTTTATCCAGTCCTATATTTTAATTAATCGTATCGCATTACAACATGAATTTGTTGATTTTTGTTTTTTTTAGATTAATTCGATTCCTTAAGATAATATTCAATTTAGTAAATCGATAAGAAAAATGAACGACTCATTACTTATGAAAGTACGTGAGATGCAGATAGAATTGACAACGATTCGGCAAGATATTCATGCTCATCCCGAAATGGCCATGGAAGAAGAACGAACAGCAACTCTTGTCGCTTCTAAACTCAAACAATGGGGTCTAACGGTTACTGAAGGTGTCGGTCGATATGGCGTTATTGGAACATTGAAGAGTCTCCAGCCAGGCGATCGTTCCATTGGCCTTCGTGCCGACATGGACGCTCTGCAACTTATAGAAAAATGCAATGTACCGTATGTTTCAACGAAGCCTGGTACAATGCACGCCTGTGGTCATGATGGACACACGACTATGCTGCTTGGGGCTGCGAAGTATTTAGCCGAACATCGAGATTCATTCTGTGGAACTGTTCAATTTATCTTTCAACCAGGCGAAGAAGGACTTAAAGGCGCTATCGCCATGATAAATGACAATCTCTTCGAACGATTTCCCGTTGATGCTGTCTATGGTTTGCACAATATTCCAGAACAATTAGGAAAATTTTCTATACGATCAGGTCCTCTGATGGCAGCATCCGATCGTTGGTATGTTACATTTCGAGGTACTGGAGGTCATGGAGGCGCAGCACCGCATCTTGCAACTGACGTTACAGTTTTACAAGCACAATTCATCATGGCGCTGCAAACCATTGTTAGTCGTAATATCAATCCGATTGATACAGCAGTGATCAGTGTTGGTGCCATTCAGGGTGGCTCTTTCCTATCAGCTAATGTTATGCCATCTGAAATACGTATTGGAGGTACTGCACGAAGTTTCACTGAGTCTGTTCGTGATCTTATTGAACGACGTATCAATGAATTAGCGAATAATCTAGCTACGACTTTTGGATGTACGGCTCATGTAGAATATAGTCGAGGTGGAACTCCTCTTGTTAATCATGACGAACAAACAAAACGAGCAATCAAAGCTGCTGAAGCAGTCGTCGGCATGGCGAATGTCAACAAGAATAGGGAACCTTTTACGGGCGCTGAAGATTTTGCTTTCATGCTTTTGAAACGACCCGGTGCTTTTATCTTCATGGGCATCAATGATAAAGAAGTATCTGCTCAGTTGCATTCGCCTGATTATAACTTTAATGATGATGCAATTCCATTCGGTGTCGCCTACTGGATAAGTCTTGTCCAGCAAGAACTCAATAATTGACTCTATCTTTATTTTTTTGCTTCATCGAATGTGATAGAACAAAAAAACAATCAGTAGTTTTTTTCTAATACAGTTGCGGTGAATATTGTAATGTCGTGGTGAGAATAACGAAATCTTTATTCTCATTTTATTTATTACTTTTACCCACACATATAATCTTTTAATCACTATGTCCCTATACGACAGTTTTTCTAAGTATTTTATAATTATTTAGTTGAATCTTCGCGAAAATATATACATGATCAGTCCTTAATATCATTTTTGAGAACATCATTTAAACTTTTCTTTATGTTTGAGGCAAACTTATGCCTGAAACTTTGTCTTTCTAGCAGTATTTAGCTGAAATATAGTGTTACATTATGATTTACGCTATAATATTTGACAGTTCATACAATTTATCGTAGCGATCGCATACAATGAAAGGTGGGCCTAATTTTTTTTCTACTCTTCAGAAAACAATGTCACTATTTATCAAGAAGGAATTCAAATGGTTTGAAAGCACAAGAAGCTTCTCCTTCGCATGTCTATTTCAGCCAGAAGGTTTATAAGTTAAACAAGAATTCATTTCGATGCTTGTTTTATTGTTTTACTACAAGATATCAGAATTGTGGTGCTACTTGCTTGAATCTTTTGCCTCATTGCATTGGGTGTTTTCTTTTATCGTTTGCGTGAATTTCTTCGTTTTCAAAAGATATCAACATACACGTAATCATCATTATTCATCGATGATGCCAATCAATGTCATACATTCGACAATATATAAAGTAAGTTGTTGCATGAATAAGATGATAGATCGAATGAATGATAAGATTAATATTGATCAGATACTATATAGTCAGTATATGGAGCGATTTTGTTAGCTACTGGCATACTATTCATAATGCTGCATCATAATAAAGCCATCTACGTATAGTACAAGAAACCTTGATTACTTAGAAATACATCGAAATATTATTCAAATTCTTTTACAACTTTTTCTCGTTTCTTGTGTTAGATATGTAAAAGGAACCAGCTGCATTTGAAATCAGAAACAAAAATATATATTGGACACACCTCGCAAATGCATCATTGTTATCACACGTTCACTATAGAAATGAATATAAATTTAACAATGAAATGATATGCTTTGTAGATGCATTGTGTGATAATAGTCGATCATCATACACTTCTTTCTATCATGAGACAGCAACGTGATTCAGGTAATTCTTGTTTTAAATTAATGAGTATATCATGAAAATCATATATTACATCTTCACTATAAATACTGATCAAACACTTGTTTTGTATCTAAGCCGATAATGCGTTAATAGCAGAAATTAATAAGGGTACATATGCTGAATTCGCTATGTAGCGATATAGATCACCCGATATTATGTGACCTTGATTATCTCGTTTTACAACATTGCCATGAGATACATGTACTCCTATCAATAAAACATCATGTATATCAATTGATGAGCATTGAATAGATTGAAATTCATCGACATTAATATTCTAATGCTGCTTCAAAAACAGTCATACTGTTGGTAGTAATGATTATATGTGATGTAATACATTGAAAATAATTAGTTGATAGATAATTAGACAAAATGGAAACATCTGACCAAACCCCAGTATGTTTATTGTTTAATGTACGATGCTGTATAGCCACCAACGAATTTCAAAAACGACACCTATTTTCATTAATGATGATGTGATCGTAAAAGTTTGACTAAAATAAAATGTAACTGATAGTATTATTCCATTTGCTACTACGATTCCGGAGATTAGCTTTGAAATCAAACTTAATGATAAACAGTTGTTTGCCATTATGATGTTAATCAAATGCTTGATTTGCTATTAAATCATGTTGAAACATATTTCTTTTAACAGATGAATATTGTGAACATGCATGATAAGGCGAGTAAGGAATTTCCCAATCGAAAAATTCTCAATATTTTGATCTATCTGTATTTTTTTACATCACCAGTATGCTTTGCTGTGCAATCTAAATGCACTAATGTCGAATTCAATTTATATGCTACATTGAGAATATCTAAGTACCATCTTAACTATGATCCAGTAGCATGTAAAACACGAGATCTTGATGCACTATTCAATAATAAATAACGACCATGTTCACAATCGAATGTTGGATGATATGTTAACAACATTGAAAATTTATTCTTTAACTTAGAAAAATAGCGATTGATGACTTGTTCAATATAAGGAAGATATGGCGTGTCGTCCAACATGTAGTCATCAAATAAATCGTAAAACGAAGATAAATATAAAGTATCAGAGTTTGAAATATGTACTGCTGTTTTTCTTTGATAGTTTTTTTTCGATGATCTTTTAATTGTATAATTATAACTTTTGAAATTCTTGCAGGTGACCAAGCCAAAATTCAAACACATAGTTGAGCATGATCGATAAAAACTTGTTTGATCATATTGTATTTTATTTTTCTATTTCAATTGAAAAAAAGTGAAAATTTTATATTTTCGCAGTTCTGTTGATCGGGATGAACTGACAACCATTATTGAATACTAACGTAAGAAATTGAGCTCTTGCTACGTTCGAAAACGACAACTGTGATAATGATTTTATCTAGAGATCAAAACAGATAGGACATTTTTCGCTTACTATCATGCCATATTTCGGTTTTCGATTTGTATATTTATTATTGGGTTCGATTAATCCGATGGATTGTTCGCAACCAATTGTTAAATACGTTTTAGTTGATGTGAGGGCTTGCGAAAATAAAAATGTATAATGGCAATACCCAATAGATAGATATAACGAACCGAGAGTATATATTGATTAGATCATTTAATAAAGCAACCGATGTCATTAGTGTAGTTTGCCATCAACAAATCTTCGAATAATTGATAAGCAGAGTAGTTGAACATTGGTACTCCAACGTTGAATAAGTACAATTAAACATCATAATCAGCGTGTGCCAGTAGAACAATCCTATAAAAACTGTCAATTTTCAATCAATGATCATAGTACAAGATATTCACATGTAGAGATAAATCACAAAAGAAAATTGAAATAATCAATATGAAAGTGACAATTGATTTGAGTAGATATGTTCGAACATAACAATTGAGGCTATATTATTTCACTGTTAAATCTTATGTTGATTGTACCATATCTAAATCAATGAATAACGTCTAGATATGTACTTCATATGATTCGAGTGATAAAATTGAATCTTAACTTGAAAGCTCTTGCCTATGGACAAAGTTTCTTATTCATGAAGAAACTTCATTCACATTCTTCGAGTGAATTTTCATGGCAGATAGCAATTCATTTTGATGTATCATTGTTGTTTGAATTTTCCGAAATACTCTTTACTACTTATAGTTCGTATGACTTTGTACGATGAGTTTTATGTGATGTGGAAACAAGAATTAGATTTCCTTCTTAACTCAACTGAGTACATTTCAAAGAAGATAAAGGTGTATTATCGAATCTAAACAGGATTCTTGGATTATGTCTGCAGGAAGAAGTCTTCTTAGCTTCTGTAACAAAATTATTTTTTAAATTTGGAAGAATCAGCTAGTAATCAGCTGAGACAGTCCTAGATAAAATTAACTAATCTCCTACATAGAGCCCATGAAAAACCAAATTGATCCCTTTTTACTTGCCAATGCTTACATACCTTCTACAATATTAAGAATAGGTAATACACACAGAACAGAAAATATGCATAGATATCTTATCACTCTTAGGGTTATAGGTTTCTTTGTTTCTCCTAGTTCTTTTAGTCACTAAAAGAACAAGAAGGACTACGTAGTTACAAAGTAAAGCAGAACTAATTTAATTTCTTGTCGATTCTTCAGAATATATATACCTTTCACATTTGACAAATATAATTTATACAACACATAACTATGAAAAAAAATTTGATGAAAACAACCTACAATAAATCGTTTCGTTACATTGTATTCGAAGATGTGATGATCGACAGTTAATATATAGAAACTTCAGAAAGAAAATTCATTTTTCTTTAACCTAGCATGACTATTCTTTCTCTTCTACATTACTCTGATCATTCGGCAGATTCTTTTTCATCTAGTTTTGGTGCACTGCAATTATTAAAAAGAAACACTGATATTTTTCCCAATACCCAGTCAAGTTATCATGTTAAGCAAATATGCAACCGACTTGGTTGTGTTCGATCATCATAATTTGTTTTTCGCCGTCATTTTGCAGCTTCACAATAAATTTGAGCAAACTTTCTTATTTTTCTCTATATAGGTTTTTAATACAATAATTTGTTCTAACTTACAAGTTATGATTGAAACTAACACAACAAACGAGAATTCTTTTGTACAGCAAAGACTTGCTTTTTCGAGAAATTAATTTTTCTTACAGAGCTTTTATTCGTGTGCGTAATCATTATATTACATTACATGTGCGTGTGAATGAAAGCATACACTCATATGAAAGAAATAGTACCACTTTATCTTTCCTTGCACATATAAGATAAAGCTATTCACCACTCGCATACATTCTCCTTTGTATTTGTTTAGCTGTTAAAAAAGTCAAACATCGACGTGCAATGACATCGAATGGTATTCAGTTTTATCGTGTACGTGGAACCCATTATGAATGTGCTCGGCACATTGGTATTGCATGCCGAGAACTAATTAAAAAACGTATCGAAGATGATCGAATATATTTGACACCAATGTTTAATTTCATTCAAACAACAGATGGTCACAAACTGCATCAAGGTTTCATTGAAATTATTCGCAAGACATTTCCCTGGTATTGGGACGAAATTTGTGGTCTTGCCGATGGTTCCGAAATTCCATTGGAACAAATACTTGTGCTCAATTTTGAAAATGAAACTCAAACGGCTTATCGTCTTCATGAGGCACAAAAAGTGAATCATCAACAAGAAGACGAAGAAACTGGTGCAAAAGGCTGCACTACTGTATTAATCAATCGACTTGATACAAATACTCTTTCATTAATACATAATGAAGATAATACGGCCGGTCTCTATGAGACTGGTTATCTCATCGAAGCTGATATTAAATCGAGTCCATATGATAATGGTACTAGATATAGTCCAGACGAAAGATTTATTGCCTATTGTTATGCTGGCGTCATTCCAGGTAGGATATTACTTTGTTTCTTATTGCAAAAAATTATACAAACGAAAAAAGAATGTCGTAATGTAAAATAGGCATCTTCATTATCTCTTTTGTGTTTCAGGTATTGCATTTGGTGCAAATAAGCACGGCTTTGCTTATGCTTTGAATGCACTCTATCCGAATTTCGTCGGGCAAAATCGTATTCCAAGACTAATAATCAATCGAGCTCTACTTTCAATCGCAGATGAGAATCAATTGGATGAATTAATTCATACAATACCTATTGCTTATGCATTTTGTATCAATGGTGCATTCTTTCGTGTACGCAACAAAGACACATGTCATTTGATCAACTATGAACTAGGACCGAAATTCAATAGTGAGACAAATTTTGTTAGCAAATGTCTCATTCTCAATAATGAACAATATCGTCAATACCAAGAAGTAAATGGTAATATTACTAGTTTGTCTATTATGCATAACATTATAGAATTCCTCTTTCAGATACAGTATGTGTTGCTTTAAATTATCTTAATCATTTCAATCACTATGAACGATCTGACGGATCAATTGTCGAACGAGAACCACTTTTATGGAGTCGAAATCGTGCTCTACGTGCACTTGAAATCGGTGAAATATACACTGTCAAAGACGCTCTGTATCTATTGGGCGATAGAGTGGACGAAAAGTTTCCGATTTTCTTCATAGGTGGAACAACCGAAATTAATTTGGCAACACTTTGCACAGCTCATTTTAACTTTCATACTCGTCAACTTAGCATTTATCGAAATAACCCAAAAAATAATAGTGAACCACAGCTAGTATACAATCTTGATGATTTATTGAACAATGAATTCAATACCAACATATAAACGATTCATCAGACATTTAGTGTTATTTTTTCTTTTCATATCAATTCATTAGATTCGCGTATGGTATTTCGAATCACTTATATATTCTCTATGATTATGACTTAGTCTGTATATTTTTTTTTTGGTAATGAGCTATTCTATAGAATTTTAAATAAAATAAATGCGAAGAAACTAAGAAAGATGGGTTTTATTTAAAGTTGAATCCAATTTTGTTTATCTACTTTGGTTGTTTTCTGACCTTTGATAGGATTTCAAATGAGTATCAATCAACCACTCGTTTTATGACACTTGATTTCATTTCAACAATTTGTCGGACAAGTGATTAAGTTGTTCTTGACGTTGAGTTAGAATTGTTTGCTGTTGTTGCTGCTGCTGCATTGGCAGCTGAATAGAAACTATTGGTAGCTGAACAATCAAGTCCTCGATTGTAGCTCGACACAAAGGGCATTCTCTACTTTTTGCTTTAATATTCGATGGTAGACATTGAAATGGAATTTATGATTACAGAACAGAGTCAAGAGCGCAATGTGCCCGATGCAAGAGTACTAAGACATATTGTACATCATCAGCAGTATTTATTAAAGCTCTAGATGGGGAAGCAGGTAGCATATGTTACGTCTTTGAAAATAGTAGCAGTATATGAAAGAAAAACAAGCGAGCAATCAATGGTATGTGAGATTTTATATGCACCATACATCACAAAGGCATGCTCTTATCAACATTTATGATTTATTTCCTCGTATATATCTTTCGACGGTCATTGTTAGATTACATGGGTTTTTCAGGATTTCTTTTACAGGAGGTTTCCTATCAGTAGATTTCATACTATTGAGAACTACAGAAATGAAGAGTACAACTGAAATAAATATAGTTGAAAATGTAGTAGTGCTCCTTGTTGCTTCATCTGATTTTCTGCTATTCTTCATGACCGAATACCATGAACGTGAAGCAGTGCTCAATATGTTTCACATTCAGGTAGCGGACGAGGTGTATTTTAAACAAGCGAAAAAGAACATTAGAAGACATTGGGTTCTATAAGAATCAATCGATCAAGTACTAGTCAGATGCGATGATTTTGCAGTGGACATTATAAAACTGGCGCAATGAATTCGGAATTTCATAATACTTGAGCCTGCTAGAAAGTCGAGCAGCTCAAACAGAGTTTTTGAATTACTGATAGAGGAGATTTTGATATGAAAAGACTTGGAAGTGATAGTTGGGGATGGAGTGAATAAGGCTGTGTCAGTACAACATTTTCACACCATACATACACAGCTACACTCTTCTTTACAACGAGACTGGAACTAGGCACGTGGAAGTTCTATATCAGTGCATATAACAGAAATTGTTGGAATAGGTTTAGTTTGAATGAAGTGGCCGACAGTAGTATTCACGTTTATTTTCGAGGTAATTTGACATCAAACAATGAAGAACTTTCAAATTCACTAGGTGCAACCATAGGATTTCTACAATCTATCCACTATAATTTTCTTTTTATAGAGTATCAGATGATTTTGAAAAAGAGAACAAGTATCTCGAAGAACTCATTAAGTCAATCGGAGATTATTGTTGTTATTAATCTCTAACTGTACGTATGAGCGATCATACAATAGAAATACGGGTACAGAATTCGAAAGCAAAAAATAGAAATATGAGCTAAACGAATAAATATTTTACTAAAGGATTCACACATATCTAGATCACTATTTCTTCTAATGAATATCTCGAGAAAGTCTTTTGTGTGAATTTATATTTCAAATTGAAATACGAAAGGATACCTTTGATTAAAAGTGGTTTGTTTGGATCTTTTTCTTTGGTGATAAACAGGAACAGAGACAGGCGCGTAGAAATATTTTATTGAATATTTAATGACAGAAGAACAGAAAAGGCGATAATTTAATTTATGGACACGTATAAAAAGCGAGAGATAAAGACAAGAAGATCAACAGATCAAAACTAATATGAAGTATTACATTACAGAATAAAATGTGCTTGTCGATAAAAGGATTATATAGTTAAATGTTGAAAGTAGACATTTAATAATAAGAATATGTGCTTGATTAATTATAGCATTAAGAGGGTAAGTCAGTGCTTCTTTTTAGTTGCTATTTTCTTCTGTTCATTGAATACATCGTGTCCTTATATTGAGTACAAAATTTCCTGAAATGAACTCTGAATTTGCTATATCAATAGTAACTGAACTTATAGGACAAATCAGAGCACCTACAGCTATTAATTACTATTATTTTAAAAATTGTTCATCAAATATAAATGATACAAATCGTTGTTGTGATATAACTCGATCAATTATAAATAGTATTATTGGTTGTGGTGTTCGTCGTGTATACAATAATATATATTTGAAATATAATCTAGAACAACATAATTTATTTTGGTATAATATGGATTGTAATCCAGGAATATGTCCAATATTATCAAAAGAAGAAGGTGCTGGTCTATATCTTCATGCATCAGAGATTCCATTAATATTTGGCACTGAAAGTGATTATAGATTAATGAATCCTGGGATAATCAAACACGAACATATTCAAATAAAGTTATTTCATATTGGATTAATATGGCTACAAAAGGAGAACCATTGAAACAATGGCAAAAATATGATCCATTAACATGAAAATGCTTACAATTTACGCCTTTTCATGAATTTACTGTTGAATGATGGGATAATAATTGTACTATATTTGATCAAATTGAACAAGATGATCTATTTGAAATGTTTGGTATCAGTAGTGATGCGCATATGAAAGTTTATTTTTTTGCATGTTTTGTCATACTGCTCTTAATATTTTATCATAATAGTTTGTAACAGAGAGACTTCAATAATTTTGTAGAAAACTTATTACTTAAATCATTTATAGGATGAAGATTATTTGAAAATCATGGATCTACTCTTCATGTTATGTTTTGCTATTTATATTGAATTATATCGAAACATCTATACACTGCTTTATAATGCTGTTTTGCGGACATTTCTGAAATCCATTTATTTTAAAAACTTGAGCTAAACAAAAGCAGTTGACTTTTTGGAAGAGATGTAAATCCTTTGTTCATTTGTACGAATTTGAAGATATTGACTTGATGAAAAGCGAATCTTGTCAGCGTGACTGAAGCAAACAAAAAAATCGTGAAAAGATATTGAAAGCCTAGTGCGACGATTTTGTTCAAAGTCAATTGCTGAAAAGTATCAATGTCATATTCGAAAATCTGAGAGAGGAGGTGACCTAAATGATTTTTTTGTTCACTTGATCGCTGAAGTTTTTCATTTGATTTAACAAGTATTGTTAGTAATTGAAGCAGATCGATTTTATGATCACTCTATTTGCTGTGTTGTGAGAGATCGAGATTAGTGGAATAGCATTAATAAGTGAAAGCGTTGTTGACATCTTAACTTTATTTTATTGTATGACAGTCTCGCTGTCGATCTTGCTATTTAAAACTTGCTCAGCAAGATTCAATCGAAATTCATTCATCTGACATGAGCTTATCGAAAGTCAAAAAGAAAATTAAGCGCTACTATGATTTTTGTTGTCATAGCCCATTTAAGTATTTCTGCTAAGCATTTATTATTTTTATAAAAAATCGAAAATAATTCTATAATTATCTATAATTCTTCACCTCATTTAGAAAATGAGTTCATTTCTATTGATTGATCATGGCTTGCATATTGTTTATATCATCCATTGTACTATTTATGACTCTACACGATTCTTATAGAACGACTTGAATATGTTTGTGAAAAAAAACTTTTCGACGAATATCCTCTGACAGTCAAGTATATATTTACATTTAAGGTTCTTTGAAAAGAACAAATATCTTTTCTTATTGATTTCATTTCATTTTCTATGACTTATTCATACCTTTACTTTTGGTAATAATCAACTTACAGTTGTATTTTTAAGAACAACTTGTTCTCGACAACATAGCCCTACTATTTGATGTACTTTTTGATAAAACATATGCAATTGCTTAATTTTCTTTCTTTTATAGTAGTGAATTAAAAAGAATGAAATTCAAATGTAGCTCTTTTATTTGCGAAGTAAGTATGTATTGAATACATTTACAGTATGCTTATAATCGAAGAACGAAAAAAGACTAATGTCAAACATCACTATGATTATTTTTTTTTCTGCCACGCCCGTATCTTGAATAAATAACAAGGCACCAACCTTGGTTTATCCAATAACTGCATACGAATCCCTATAAATGACTTGCATTATACAGACGTATTTCTTTTATTCACTAACTGAAACACAATTCGTGTGTATCGTTCTTACCATACAAACATTATGAGTGGTTTTGATCTTTCAAGTCGGAATATTAGTCTTAATGGAACTATATTGAGAGCTACTTGTAAACGAGCTGATGGTACAACGGATTCGCATGCAACACTCGATCTTAATTCGTGCATTGCCAACATTAATGGAAGTTTAGTTCCAAGATCTGGCGGAAATTTTGCTGCATCATGCAGTCAAATACGCTTAAACGGCACAGTACTCAGTTGTATGGCAAATGGTATTGATGGCAATGAGGTTTCCGCTCAACTCGATCTCTCAAACTTTATCGCGAACTCCGATGGAGAACTTGTTGCCAGCGAATGAAATATGTTATTTTTTCTGAAACAAATTAACTGAACACCCTTCTTTAGTTATATTAAACCATTTGAAATTAATATTGAGTGCATAACCTGAACTATTAACTTTTTTTTTTCTATAATAAATATTGACGAATATACATTCGAGCCTTTTTTTTGACATCTATCTACATTACTTGAATCATAAAGAAGCATGATTGAGAGTTATTGTGATTTTACGAATGAACGTATGTTGAGCTTACAAAAAAAAAAGAATAAAGAAAAACTTGGTAACTGAAACATGTGCTCCGTGAAGAATTCAAGTGAACTTTTTCATATTTACATGTGGAGCTTCTCCAAAAAAATTCGGCTGCCTTTTATTTTATGCTGTTTTCTTGATTATAACATCGATGATTGAGAGAGAAATCCCGATAAATGCAAAAAAAAAAAATAATCGAAGGACATTGATTTGAAATTCGATTGCATGAATAAAAAGATGACAATATTTTTTTCATTACATCAAACATATAACAATGCGCTTGAAATCGTGCTCAAATAACAATTCGAAAAATAATGATATTCAAAAATAAGTAATCCATTCGTTTCGTTCAAATTAATAATAATACTTGAAACACGTTTACAATTAATCTAATAATCGAAGAATAAAAACTTCAACTTGATTCTTCCGTAATGAACTTTGTCCCTGATCCTCAAAACATTAATTAATCATGAAAAATAAAATAGAATCATTGTACATAGCATGACTAAAACATTTCTATTTGATGTCTTATTCATTATTACCGTTTGACATGGTCTGCAAGTGTATTTGAAAAATCAAGATGCAGTCATATGTACGTGAATCAGACCAATATCAATATCTTTTTTAAAAAAATCAATATGAAATTGAAAATTTTGTTGGACATTTAGTCCACTGTGTCAAACTCTTATGAAGTAATTTCATAAGCAACTCGAAGCTTCTCAATAGTCTATACTATTAAAGGTGGAACAGAATTATATAGATGACTGATTCATTAAGAGAACGAAGTATTCGTCGATTCATAGAATTAAACATGTTTCAGACTGAAAATATTCAAGTGCTTCTATTCTGAGATGTTTATGGTAATGTAAACTGTATAAAAGAGGATTTAATGAATTGTCGGATATTGTAATCTGGATGTTTGAGTTATCATCAGCAGCAATATCACATGTATAAGATATTGTTAGAAAGACAGGTAAACGTCTCTATTGCTTTGTTGTGCTTGAGAGAAATGACTTGTCCACAATTATGCTATAGATACCAGCATTTCATATCAGTCATTCAGTTGATGATATCAAGCTGATCATTAATGTTATCGCACATTTTGTGGTTGAATAGCATTCAGTTGTTGTGGTGATTCTATAGTGCGATTGTCAACGTTAAGAAGGTATTTGAACGACTAATAATATGATAGAATCGTATAGGACAATTTATTCTAATCTGGACAATAAATTATTTTGAAATGCTTTTATTGAAAAAATTTTTGTTGTCTTTGGTATTGTGTTTTTTTCCGATTTAGCGATGCTTACATAATCAGATGCTAAATTATATTGTTCTCCAGTCAATTTTGCCAAATATACAAAACTTAACTGCTGCACCTATACCATCAACGACTTTCTTTCCATGGGAATTCATGAAAAGGGTTTTTGAGTTGACACGCGACTGAATCACATGAAGCACACGCAGTATGGAGTGTAGATGTAGAAAGAGATGTCAACACCACTTGTTTTACCATCCATCCTGTACTATATACCACACTCAAAACGAATTGCTTTTTATTGGAAACCAGTCAGTTATGTTTTTTTCTTGTCATCCCTGGTGAAATTTCTAAACACTCAGCTAATAGCAAACTTTGCTTAGTTTTTCACATTGTACGTATTGATAAATTGACATCCATGACTCATTCAATACAGAAGGACATATATATTATGAAAACTGGCAAGAGCAAATCCTTTTTTAGACCAGGAAAAAGTATATAGTAGACATACTATCCCATTTATTGAAAAAAAATTGTAAATTAGATCACAGTACTACTAGAAAAACACACCAAAATAGATTATCTCAACACAAAGCTACTTCTCCAAAAAATTTTACAATGTAGATATTTTTTTCATTGAATACACGATGTGATCGAAACACGCACCAATAGTTTTGAAATGCACAGTCACCAAAATGCCTCGTGTGTATGCCGGAATGCGCAAACAATGCGAACAGACATGTTCGATGTCGGTCGAGCAGTCTAAAAAAAGATATACACAATAAATGGAATTTTAAGTATTTAAGCACATTGACTTTTATGCAACCTATCAGAAATCGGCGTATACTAAAATGCGACCAAAATATTCGTGAGCTACAATACAACTATTCTGGATATAGCTAGAACAGTTCATGAAAAAATAAAGTATAAGATTCTTTCGGCTTCTTCTCGCTCAATGAAAATAATAGTATTTGATAGCATGTCAAAGTTTTAAGTAATTAGATAGAAAAATTCCATTTTAGCGGAATGATTGTTCATCAAAGTGGCACTTACTCATTTGGTTCATCTCATAAAAACCATTGTCCGTGCCTGTAAAGAGGATTCTAATGGGAATAGACGACAAAGTTCTGCATCGGAAGGGTTTAACATCGAATTCGACTTGATAAGAATCAACTAGTATTGAATAGCTTATTATGAATGAATAAATCATGTGCTTCATGATCACATTAGAATTATTTAACATGAACGAACAATTTTCAATAACAATGCTGTCTTCTGGTTATATTAACCGTTCGTTCAGAGATGAACATCCACTTAAATTAAGGTGAAATTCATCTATCGGCGAAAATGAATCATCTGGTAATAAAGAATTTTGAATTGATTATTATTCAAATTGACTACGATTGCTAAAAATATGAACTGTTGAATAGTGTTTCAACTATGATAGTATCTTGAAGATAAGCATCATCCAATTGACAATTAATCAACTGCGAGAAACCGAAAACAGATCGAGTTAGATTAGCTCGACGAAAGTTTGTCTCACGAAAAGTGTGGTTACGAAAGATGCATTGCTTCAACGATATTTGTTGAAAAAAGACAACTCGAAGCGAGACCTGATTGAATTTACATTCTTCATTTTCCATTCGAATTCAATTGAAATCTACACATTCTAAGAGTCAGCTCTCATCGTTGAGTTACAATGAACTTTCGTAGAGAAAGAGTAAAACTTGTTTCTTTCGTTTCTTATCAATGTTTTGTAGAGTAGCCAATGTTTTTATACGAATATAAAGTAATTTCTCGTTGTTACCAAGAAGATTGTCAATATTATCAACACGAAAACGCTACATGTCATTGGCATAGGTAAGAAAAAAGGTTTCACGTTGTGCTTCTTCAGCTTGATACTTGTCAAACTCTCGTTTTTGTCGAGCAGTTTGGCGATTTTGAATCGTTGTAACAACAGTAAAGACACCGATGACTAATGGAAGAGCAAAAAGAATGAGCACTCTGATCCGTTCTGTTGTTGAACATTTTGATTCTTTCTTAACTTTATCGTTGATTTCAGCAGATGAACAACAATGGCAACGAAAAATTTGTTCGAACACCGGATGATTCAAGTAAGATTATGAAAAAATGAGGATCAAATTATGAAATAATGGGGTATCAAGACAAACGATATATATATATATGTATTCTGAAATCGAGACACATCAGATTTAGTCTTTAATCCAATATGACCTCTTCGATAAATGTACAAATGGCTTTGAAAAAGTAAAACACCTTTTTTTTATTCAAACACATAGGAAACGATCAAATTTGTTAAACGAATCGATCATGTAAAACTCGGCACGATATATCAATGAATAGGATTATAGTGAAAAGAAGACCTCCAATCTCATCTTTTGATAGCGATCCATATATGCATATCTGTATGAGTTGTCTGCTCGATTGATATCCTTTTCTTTGTTTCATTAGCTTTTGATATCGCAGATTTTTATCTTATTTTTGTCAAACGTGTTTTATAAGATATTTCAATACCTCTTACTTCGAAATAATAGTAATAATTTTAATGTTTATATTCTTTTTTTCATATAAGAATAACTAATTATCTAATTTCAAAATTTCAATTTTTATATATAAAATTAATTTTCATTTCAAATAAAAAATTGTGATTTAATCAGCTGTCGTATTCTTATATGTATCCAAGAATTATCATCGTTCAGATTGTTTCTGTGGTGATTATATGTGAGTTACTCTTGTTTTTCTATCAAGTACGAAAAAATAAACGAGTGTATACTAACATAGAAACCAATGCAAATTTTTTAAGCGTCTTTGAACGAGAAAAAAACTCATTCGGACATTTCAATCAAATCCGATTCATTATCTTTTGACAACGAATTGAAACCTGAACAATAAGAATTGAGCAAGATAAGAATGAAATACAAAAATCCTCATTTATTATGAGCCAACCACTACTTACTTAGATAGGAAAAATTTCAAAGAGGGACCGTCGCAAAGTAGATGGGTCCGTCCTGTTCAAAGCGCAAGTGCCTTATTAAACAGTTGAATGTTTATCTAAAAAGTATCTCGTTTGAGAAAATTTTTGTATGATTGAAAAACTAATCAATGTTTTGGTGTAACTCGTGACTATGTGTCGTGATACAATCAACAGAAAGATCGTGAAAACTTTTACAACATCATACAAAAGTAAATAATCATGACACAGTTGGATCGAATTGAAAGTTATTTTTCTTCGAATTCAAAAACTGACTTTAATCTTATTTCAAGACATAGTCTTCGATTGTTTCTCGGTTTCGATATCATACAATGATGAAAATCGAATATTTCTCCGTTTTTATGATCATTAATTTATCATTTCAAAATGTAACGTTCATGTAATATATTACATTGTTCACTAAACAAAAGTTGAATCGCACGAGATTAACTGTGTATTCTAGTAGCAAATCTCGTGACACAACTGCAAATTTTTCCTATTCCAGTTTTATGAGGAACGCATATGAAACGACGTTGCCTCTTGTATTCGTTGCTGATATAACGTGCTGAGTTGACTTAAAAAGCAGAACGCAAAAAATAATCAGTTTCATTTATCAGTCATATTTTACATTTTCTCTCTTTATTGCGGTTTTGCTTCTTCCTTTTTTTATTCGTTTAATGACGTCAGAAGTGTATAAACGATGTATCATCACTTCAAGCAAGACGAATATAGACATTTTGTTTGCAATTTTTACGGCTGATAAAACTTCAGGTAAAACAACAAAATAATGACTACCACCAAATATAGACTTGTTCAACCGACCCCTCACTAGATGACACCTCTCCAATAAAAAGAGCACTGAAAGAAAACTTTTTTACCAAAAGGTATAGCTTTTTCTCATTTTTTGAGTATTTTTCAAATATTAGGAAGTAAAATGAAACGAGAAAAAAGAGAAAGACTCGCGCAATTACTTTATAATTTTTATATGAATTCGTTAAAAGTATCTTATACACAACAGTTGATTACAGCTAACTGTCGTTTTATATGATGTTTTTAACGAAAAGTTGAAGTACGTAGGTACTGTTTGACAAGGTCTTTCTAATGAGCCCACAAAGATTGCATTAATTGTCGTCTAATAAGTTGTGTAATTTCATTTATGAGCGTGATATTAAAATAGTTTATAGACGATTCGAAAGAAGAGAAATAGAGTCTGAAATTAGTCCCATTACTTTTGCATCGTATGCTACGTTTGAGTGCCTGTTTCATGCTTACTCACAGCGTAATCCACACGGACATACCCTCACAAAGTTTCTTGTTGGAAAAATGGAAAAAAAATGAAATTGTTTCACATGAATATGAGTAATGTTCTTTGCCAAGTAATATATTGCGTTTTGTGATGATGATTTTCTTTTGATTGGCTTGCATCTTTTTTACCTGGTAAGTTGGAAAGAAGGAAAAAAGCAAATTGGAAAAAAAACATACAAAACACGTCATAAGATATTTCGATGAAACAGTGTATAAATGAGTGCATTTTCACAAACGTTGTAGTTGAGCGTCATGACTATTCTCTTCCTTCTGTTACTAAAAATCGTCTATAAAAGTTCCGTTACTAGTGCTATATTTGAAATGGAAGGAAACATTTCAAAATGAATATGAAATTTTTGTTTTTAGATCGTTTAAACAAACTTTCGAACAACTGAGAAAAAATCACTGTCATGTCATCTCATGAAATCGTTATTATCTGGTTGGATAATTACATTGGTGTTCCTGGTAGTTATGTTCATCTCAAAGAAGCTTTTTCTACTACCATTGATCCAACATATCCGTATCCAATAAGTCTATATGATCGAGATTCAATTACATTTAACTTAAATAAAACAGATTCCATACCTCAATATCAATCTCAAGGTCCTTGTGAATTGCAATTCTTTACTGATGAAGAACAATGTTTAAAGTCTATAAATACATGTTTCAATACAAATAAACAAATATTTTTAATTCTACCTGATTATGTTCGAAAAAAATTTTTCTTGCGTATTTATGAACAACATCCAGAAGAATTTGAAAAGACTGAAAATGATATATCAATAAGATTTTATATATTTATCTTTATGCCTAAAATTGAAGAATGGTTTTTTGAGTATGAAGACTGTCTTCGATTTTATTATCATGAAGCTGATCTTTTGTATACATTAACACGAGATATAGCTATGTATTATATGATGATTGGTGAGAAATTATGTAACCGAAATACACTGAATGATATTCAGCAGGCACTAATTTATTTTCATTGGGCTCATATACTTATTTGTCGTGGAAATGCTATTTCATCTTATAAAGAAATTGAACTTCAAATTAATTTAGAAACAATGATTAATGAAAGTGAAAAAATAATTCATTCTATAGAAAATGAAAATTATTTACAATATGATTCCATAAATAAATTAATTGAAAATATTTTCATTTATTATTCAACAGAATTTAACAATCAAGCATTGAAATTAGCGACAATCTTGAATCAAATAATAAATAAAAATCCATTATTATTCAATAATTTAAAAGATTTTTTTTTAAATTTACAATTAGAACAACATAAAAATGAACATATTTGTCCGATAATAATAATTTCAAATATTGATAATCAAACACATATTTTCGAAGAATTGTCATCAATACAATCAATCGAGCATTTTTATGTTTTAAATTTAAGTGAAAATAAATTAATTGAACAAAACAATGATCGAACGCTATTCAAACAATTTTCAAAAATTCGAAATATTCATTCAAATATGAAAACACTTGTACTCGGATGGATAATGGATCATTCAACAGAATGTGAACAAATTGGAGACTATTTTCAAGAAAATGGAAATTTAAATCAAGCAATCTTGTACTATAAAAAGTCCATAAAACTTAATGAATATCTATCTGTTTTTATTAAAAAGTAGTAAAACCGTATATTGTTTGTTTCTTGTCCTATATATATAAGATGAAAGGAACCTACCGGAATTGAACATCCTCGACCAAATGAAAACTCAATAAATGGTTTTATTTACACCGAATTCTTCTAAAAGTCATTGATGGAGAGCTTCGGTTGCTCTGGGTTTCGTATATTTGATAATTCTCATTACATTAAAATATGACCATTTTTGCTGCTTTATTCTAAGTTTTCGACATTGTTATGTTTTAGTGTATCTAATGTTGTGGCTCAAAATACAATGCTACCAATACATAAATTTACCAGAAACTGTGCTTGATACCGTAGTATATATGTTTGCAATATGTTATCTTCTAAGCTATACGAAAATTATTATTAAATAGTGCGCATTCTTGTATGTGAGTAGCACTCATCTTAGTTTTTTTTGTAAGAAGGTTTTGATTGAATAAGAATCGGTAGATAATTCTCCATTGAATAAAATATGTAACTTTGTGGAAAATGAGGACAAAATTGTTTGACTTCCGTATGGACGTTAAGAAGTATAGGAATCGACCAACGCAACTGTCCTTTGTGTTATCTCATGTTTCTGACGATATTTAATTGTTCAATGATCATAGATGATAAGACTACTGAGATTCACAATACCTGAGTACCTGTCAGTATCTTTATGAAAAACGATAATTTTCGATGTGACCTCATCTCTCCTCATGAGTCTTGAATGCAACTCTTTTTTCTCATTTTACAAAGATTACTTTACATCATGCAATAGCGAATTATGTATTGATTCTTAGTTGAGAAAAATACTTTCTTACTCAGAAAATGAATGTTGCTTATAGAAAAGAATAGGCATTGTTTGATTGTAGCTTGCATCTGGTTCAGAAGTCAGTATATATTGTAAAAATATATAGAATGGCATCAAGCACAGTTCCTGTAAGACTTGTATGTTGGTAAAACTTTATTCTGTAAATAGAATTGCTCTCACTGAAACATCACGAAGTCAACAAATCAGAGAAAAATTGATCCAAATGATCAGAGTCTGATATGAGGAGAATTATCAAAAATATCAGACCGAAGAACATCCTAATCTCAATAGAAGTAACTCGTAAAAAGAATTCTGTATAAGTCGATGTGCAGACAGACTAATGTTATCATATCCACAAATATCACAGTGTTCATCAAATAGCACATAAACCTGTTATTTCCGGTATTTCATTCGATCTACGATGCACTGCACTATATAACAATTTATTTGAGTTTTCTTTATTTAGTACTAAAAGTGAGATTTGATAATCTTACTGAGCTTTAAGAATAAGTGTATGAAAGAAAAAAATTGGTATTGAAAAATAAAATTTTAAAACCTGATCAAATACTCTGTTACTGTATTCATGTGATGGTTGTTTATTGATTTTTGTTTTGACGATTACGATTTGTTGATATTGACCTAATCGAATATTGAATCATGCTAATAAAAAAAAAGAAAATTTTAGATTATCTAATTCGATGTCCAATATGAATTATATATCATTGTTGGCTTTACTTGGTCCGTCCAATATATTGGAAGATTTTGATCAAAGAGATTTTCTTCACCCAAATTTTTTTATTCACTGTTTTTCACGTCCTCAATTTATGCCTATACTTCAAAGATATCAAAATGATGTTTTAGAAATGGACATCTTCTTGCCAGATTCTTCAATTGATCTTGTTGCTCCTTGTAGAAATCTCTTATGTCCACGAATATCTTTCTTTGTTTATTGTCAAACAGAAGATATTTTAAGAGTGTATCAACAAATGCCAATATGGAATAGATATGATTCAGTTTTCAATATGAATATGCTTCAACAGAAACTGGAACGAAGAGCACAACGTCATCTTCTATATCTTACGGAATATTTGGAAAACCGTAAGGAAGCAGAAGATGCAGATGCTGCTGATTTACTTGTTCCAACCGGAGAGATGTTCGAACGAAATGCAACAAGAATCAATGAAGAAATTCGACAAAAAAGTTGTCTGGGTACACAACCAGATGAAGTTGAGAACGGATGATTTTTTATTTAATAATTTGTAAAGTTTAATACAATTATTTTTTGTTGCACGCAAAAAAAAGTATTGAAAATAACTGAGCCAGGCCAGATAAATATATATCGATTTAGTGCATATTTTTTTTGTACCTGGGGCACTACAAGAGTTTTTTCACTAGCCTTTAGGATAAATATTCAGAGGACGATTTTAATTTATTTTTTCAAAGTACTGTCCTTCAGTATCAATGCATTTATGCATTCGAATAAACCAGTCTTCGAAACAGTTTTTAAAGTCTTCTTTCGTGAGACTGTCAATGGCTTGTTGTAAAGNCTTGCTATGCAAGATGCAATGCTTGAATACCAATGCACAACAATACGTTACTGCCATCAGATTCATATTGGTGCTGACTTTAAACTGCTTTTTGTTGCGTTATGACAGACTAGACACTTGTTGTTTCAATAATACACTACCAAAAATCATAGTTACTAGTCGATTTGGCATAGAAAATGGATACAATTACTTTCTTCCGAAAGCATTCTTAATATTTTTTTCATTGAAATATATGTTCATGGCTATGGTGTGGGTATGAATGAAGGCAATGTAAACACACACGCATACGCACACACTCCCACATCCTTTTAATATGATTAATCCTCGTATTCAATGTTGAAAAATTAGATAATTTCTACTTAGAGAATAGATTCAAATCTCGAAATAAAAAATTAATATTATAATAAACCTCATAAACAAGTTCATCATCATCAAACCTTACAACATAGACAGGTACATATCTTACGGAAATAAAATCTTTTGTTGGAGTGTGAGATTTGGAAAGATCAGATTTATTTGTTACTGCTTTTAATGATAAATCAGTTGTTTGAGTTAGGACCTCCCCGTCCTCAGAGAACCGCAATTGTTGTCAAATTTATTGATTTGGTGATTTATATCTCTTTAGATAGAGCAAAATATATACTTTCGAATGCACTATAGATTTTTTATTTTATGTTAAGATTTAAGGATTCACTTGATTCGTTCTAATCAGTGACCTATAAATTCAGATTTTACTCGTGTTTTTCAATGTTTTTTTTTCTAGTCAATGTGTCATTGCATTAGTTTGATCTTCGAATTTCTCAAAGTGAAAATTAATTCGTTGAACTATTTGAAAATTTCTTTTCTACCGTTTTTTTAAGTGATTGTAACGTTCATTATGTTATCTTTAAAGACATTCAACTTTAGTATTTTAAATACTTGATAAGATTAGAAAACTTGAATTTTAAAAGAATAATTGAGTAGTAATTCATTCGAATTGGTATAGATTTATGACTGAATGATGGGTGTGTCATAAAAAATAAATCTCTCAGTATTCCAACTATAACTTATTGTTCTTTTTAGCTGTCAGATTTGATTCCTTTTTTTTCAGAAGATGTCCAGTCAAATTCTCTATAACAACTTGATCAGATATATTTCTATGAAACTTTAGGAAAAAAACTAAGTGATGAGTTTTCAACAAGTAGAAATGGGTCAAGTGAATAAATACGAAATCCATCGTAGAGACTTGCATCAAATTTCTTATGTCTTAGACTTCATATAACGAATCTAAAGTAATTAGTATCTTTGAGCTCGAGTATTTTTTTTTTAATTTGATGATGTTCAATGGGACCCAAAAACAATGTTTTTACAAACCATTAGTTTCAAAGATCTTAGTAACTATGTTTACTCATTTTTCTGACATTAGTAGAACCAGAATCTGATACTCTGTTTAAATATACCCTTAGAACTTGATCTTAACTTACGGCTAGTTATCTATACAGAAATACCTCAGTAAATATAAAATATCGTTTGTGCCACACAAAATAAGCTTTTTTCTATGATATACAATGTCTTGGAAGGGTATTTTGGGATAGTTTTTGCTTTCTAGTTTTGTAGAGAATGTCATACTCTATTAAATCATAGACTCGAATAAGTTACGTCGCAAAATAGTCAAAATTTCTAAAACAGTTTTTTAAATACCATTCTGTACATGAGATGACATTTTTCAAAATAACTGGTTATTGAGAATTTTGATATATACAATACAATAGGTTCTGAAGCACTGTTCTACAAACTAGTGTATTAGAAGACTTTCTTATAATTAGAATTGAGCCATTTTTAATCAATATAAAAAAAATACACTGTATGAAAAATTCTGCACAAATGTTGTTTTGGGTCTTCAACGAAGATTTCCTCTTAATTGAACAAATATTTAGTGCCAAGACGTTTGACACTAAGGTTATATGTTCCAATTTATATCTGAATAGTCGTAGCGGTTAACTCCTTGGAATAATGCTAGAATTATTCGATAAAAACTCTATTATATAAAGACACTTAAACAAATCGACAATCTCTTTTTAAACTTTAACTTAATCTACGCATCAATTACGTAAGTTCAGAAGATTTTCTCTCGAAATATCAATAGCATTAAAAAAAAGGAGTCATCTATATTTTCATTGATTTTTCGACTCTACGAAAAAAATTACTTTATTTCAGAAAAGAAAAAAAGCCAAACGAAAACATCAAGAACAACAACAATAATACAAGAATAGAATAAACGCAAAGATCTACACGTACACAAATTAATTTCTTTCTCATCCATATAAACAAAAAAAAACAAATTTTTTTTTTTTTTTTTTTAATATTATTGCAACCAGGGCATTGAGTTAAACTCAACACTTTATTTTTCTCCTACAATAAACGCAGGTGAAAAATAGAAAAAAAATATACATTCAAATAATTTTTCTTTTCATATTTCCAACAAAATTTTATTTATTCGTATTAACACCAGCTGGACGAACTTGTAATTCATTATGATATAATTTTGATAAAATTGATAATTGATGTTTCAAAACATGTAAACTGCTCGATGATTGAGTACGATTAATATCATGCACTAATTCATTATCGATTAATGAATCTGAATTTTTTTTCTCATCAAACCAATGAGGATTTTTAACAATTAATATTGGATGAGCAAAAAGAAATGAGTAAAACCCTAGAGATACAACTTTTAACAAACACGAACAATTCATTAAAATAATACATACATTCTTGTGGAATATCCACATGTGTTTTATTAAGATTTAAACAAAGTATATGTTCAAAACGATGTTTAGCAATTTGTTCAGCTTCTTCAAATGTCTTTGTTGAACGTAAGTGATCAATAGTATCAAATATTTCTTGTTCTTCAAATGGTGACAGAAAACCAATACGAGTATCAAAACGATGATGTTGTCCAACAAGAATATTATTCAATGATGACACAGGATGAGACTACAACAAGAAATTATTTTATGCCTGACAAAATTAACTGTAAATGGAAAGAAAATATCAAACACAATGTACCACCGCTTAGGATGAACATTGACCCTGTTACATCTCTATCTCTGGCTAATGTTTGTCAGCCTATGGGAGGAAAATTTCTTTTACCGTATTCATAAATGCCTGTGGTTTAGTAATTGCTGGTTTTGGTGTTGTAGGTTTCGCTGCAATCGATGGACTATCCGCCGTTGATTCCGTTTTTTGAATATCACCATTCATTGTTATAACTGAAGGTTTACTAAGACGTGGTCGTCCACGTTTTCTTCCTGTACTAGTTCCATTAACTGTTGGTGTTTCATTCATATTTGTTGATGTAGGTTCTTCATGTGAAACTGATGAACCATTCGCTATTTGTACAAAGACAGTTGCAGTTTCATTTGGTACTTTTGAATTACGTATATAACGACGTTTAGCTGGTGGTGTTATTATTGAATCAGCATCATTGGATGTTTGTTTTTTGAGTTTTATTTTAACCGATGGTGCCTTACGAACTGGTGCCTCATCAATGGATGATTCATCTTCAGATTTGAATTCAAATGTTTTTTCAGCAAGTAATGAACGTTCGCTAGGATCAAGTGATGATGTTGGTGCACTCAATGGTTCAGATGCATCTTCAGATTTCGTCATTAATGCTTTAGGTTTTCGACCTGGTTGTCCTTTAGGAGTAGCTACAAAAAAACAAGAAATATTTTATAAATTTTTTCGTTCTTTGGATTGTTCATACTAAGTTTTGATGTATAAAATTGAATTTTAGGTTCAATTTCTTCCAGACGTGTTTCACTTGTTTGTTTAAGTGCTTCATCAGCTTCACGTACAGCCATTTCCCAATCTTCACGACGACCAATAGTTACTTTCAATTGAAATCGTTCTGTTAATTGTTCTTTTTGAGATTTTGTTTGAGCCTATCAAAAAAAAAAAAAGAAAACAAAACTTTGAAACAATTCAATTCAATTACATTCAATTGACCTTATCAACAATTTCTTGCGCATATTTAGTAAAAGCTTCAACACCTTGATAGGGAATTATTGCTGCATCAGGAACCCAAGCAAAATCAGCTGTTGAACCATAAAATACCACAAAATACATTCGTTTTGCACGTGTATTTCCTGAAAACATATCAAACGATTGGATTTTCCTTTAGTTTAGCTTATGACTTACCAGAAATTTTCGTAAAACATCTTGTTGTATCATTTGGATCACGAATAATAAGACTTGGCCACCTGAATAAGAATCAATTAAAAAACAAATTTGTATTTATAAATAAAGACTTACCATGGATGTCCACCAATTTTAACCCAAACAGCATCAGCAACATCATGAACAATAGGAATATTTTTCTCTCGTTCTTGTTCATCATCAGCATCAACAGCTGCTTGTTCTGCTGAATGACGTTGTGCTTTTATTTTATTTGTTTTACCACCGCCATTTACCACAGTCATCGGTGGTTCTTCTCCTAAATGTCGAACACGATTATTTTTGTTTGTAATTCAAAGAAAATAATTTACGTTTTGGTAATGTACGTCTTGGACGACCATTTGATGTAGTCGAATCATCAGTTCCTACACGTTTCTTAGTTGAACGTTTTCGTTTGCCTGTTTTATTTCCTGTTGATGGTTCGTCAGCACCATTCATTGATGTTTCGTCGTTATTTATTGGTTCAACATCGTTAGTAGACGTATCCATTGCAGTTAGTGTTTCCGGATGTTCTAAATAATGTGAGAGGTTGTCTTTTCAAGAGAAAGAAACAACGGTAAAATAAATTTATACCTTTCATAGGAGAAGAAGACGTAGCAATCAAGTCAGTATTCATTTCGATACGTTCGAGCACAAAAAATGTTAAATTGATTTGATATCAAGTACAATGTCAAAAGAAAAAGAATTGAATAAACAAAGCATAGTTATTCATTAACCAATTAATTTTCAGTATTTGGTTTCGTTGTTTAAAAAATGAATTCATATTTAAATTATGTATTAATTAAATTTTGAATAAATATTTACTTTTTTAATTTACTTTCTTTCTTGCAATTGATCAAGTGCATAAATACGTTAATATATAAATTGTAGAGGTCGTTGCGAAGTAATCGTTAGTAATGTTAGAAGTAAATGATAGATAAAACAAAGTGTCTGTTAGCCTCTTTTTTTTTGTTCTTTTCTTCTCAAACGTGAGAAATGACAACAGTAGAATTCGGTGGTGGACCAACTCTTGAAGCTCGTCAACAATTCGCTAATCTTAAAGATGGCTCAGAAATTCCAAAGTAATAATATTTCACTTTTGAGAACTAACAAATAAGTGAAGGTTATTGGTAAGAATTATTCAGATCTAAGTAAACAACACCTAAACGATTGTAAACGAAAAACAAAAATCGATGTTCTGTTTGTAAAACGAGTTACGGTAAAATAAAGTAAAAATTAATTCAGTAATGCGCCATAGTTGACAGTCGGTATGAGCACACTGGATAGAGTAAATTTCCCATATTGCGATCAAAAGTATCTTTAGTATTTTTGTTCTTTATTTTATTCGATTAAAGCAATGCTAAATGTAAGTACTAATTTAATATTGATTGATATATCACCTTATTTGATTTTATATTCATTAAAAAAGAAAATCGAAATGATTAGTAAAACAACGATCTACACAATCTTCTTTTTTTATGCAGCTATAAGTTTTCTTTAATTGATTCATATTTGATCATGCTAGAATGAAAACTTATTAAATCATTTTTTTTATATAACTTGTAATGTTTCATATTGATGACTAAAAAAAACATTGTTAAGAAAAACAATAGAATGAACATCTTGACTGATGAAAGTAATGTATCAGAAATTTGAAAGTTTTTAAACTTTAAGTGATTATATTTGAAATTCAAAGTACAAAAAATGTTTTGTAATTTTGTTTGCCTTTTCAAATAGATATACTGGACATATTCATCAATTAAGATTTCGTCAAGGTCATACATACGGTGAAGAAACTCATCGATTAGCTAAAGATTTCCCTCATTTATTAAAACGTTCAAAATCAGATGTCGTTAAATATGATCAATCTGATCCATATGTAACACGAGAATTTCCTGATGGATTAATTCCAGGTTATACAGGTAATGAAAAATATTATCACTATCTTCATTTTTTGTTGTTGTAATAATTATTCTAAATTAGGCTATGTTCCTCAACGAAAATATCAACATGGTAATCGATATCGTATTGAAACTGATGCATGTGTAGTCGGAACAAAAAGTGCATATGCAAAAGAAAAACAAAAAGCTCAAGATTTACAACGTGCTATTAGTGCTTATCCAAAAACAAAAAATTTAAATAGTGGTACAGTTCTTAAACATTTTCTTGATTATCATCGAGCCTATCATCCAACAGAATGTTCCCAACAGAGTATATACAAAAAAATTTTCTAAATAATATAAGATAATTTATTTGATAATCATAGATGATCGTCGACCATTTGTTGAACCACCGATGCCTGGTTATCATGGTTATATTCCTCGTATGAGTCCAATAGGAGTTGGCCTTGGTACACGTTATCACGAAGCAACAAAAAGATCTTTACATCGTTTTGCAGTCGAAACAACAAATTCTATGACAAATTTTTCTACATCCGTTGATAATCAACCATTATCAACAGATTATGAGACTCGATCGAAGTAAATAATTTATAGATTCAATTAATTCATATATATTCCTTTACTTCTAGCCAGGTTGTTATTTACATGTAGTAATGATTTGCTTTTAGAAGATAAAAACGGTTTATATCTGCTCTATCATAGAAATGCTATGACCTCCTCCCCCCCCCCCTTCATCTCCCACTCTCCCAATTTGTAAAATTCAAATAAGGAAAAAAAAATATTAAAATATGATTTTCTAATTTAAGTTATACAACAAGTTTAATTGATTTTAAACAATCACGTCCAACATCAAGTTCATCTAATCGAATCTATGCTCAATCGGGAATGATTCCGAGATATACGGGTTATTTACCTCGTAAGATTTGTTGTAGAAAAATAAATTCTTATTTTTAAAACTTTTTCTTGAAGAACGTAAATATCGTGTTGGACAAACTTTTGGTGATACAACACGTGATTTACCTGTTTGCTCTCATTCAAGTTCTAATTATGGTGAATTCGTCTGAGCAAACACAAAACCAAGCTCAAATAATTCTTACTGAAAACAAACAAAAAAAGAAACAGTATTTTTTTTTCTATCATTGCCTTTTTTTCTACTTTCACACATTTTGTTTCATATGAACACATATTTTTGAGATCTTTTTTTTTAATATATTCTTGTTGGTACAGTTTCCATCGACTTTATTTTGACAAATTTCATTAATAAAATAATTTTAATATGTGATAAACGAAAATGAGACGTGACAAATTTACAACAATCATTATGGTTAAATGTCTAATTGAATTTCAATAATAGCTGGATTATTATTTATTGCTAAGAGAAATGTATTATTCCTTGTAGATGGTATCATACATTGAATAGAATCAAGACCAATTTGAAATGTTCGAATGTTACGCTACGAATGAGAAAGAAATAAAAATAGATAATTAATCTTTGATATGAATTTTTACTTTATGAAAATTTTGAAATAAACGAATTTGACCATCTTTACCCGAACAAAGAACAAGATTAGGTGATAAAATAATTGCGGATGTATGCATTTCAACAAATGATTTGTCTGTAAAAAAAATATAGATTTTTATGGTGATGTAATATTCATACATTTGATTGTTTCCGACACATAAAATTTCAAACAAAAAAAAACATTAACTGTATTCATAAAAGAGTAAACGTTAGTGTAACAATGCAAATCACATCTACGATAATAATAAACAGGCCAGAGTAAATAGAAGTGTCATTATTATCTTAATATTTCTATTTCCTTTCATACCTTCCGACTGAATTTTTCTTTTATCTAAAAGTTTGAGCATTGGATTTATTAGGCAACTGCATGCAATGGAAATTCATAGAGGTACAAGCAATATTACAAACATGAAATATCAACAACGTTCGAAGTACTTTTTCTGTATTGAGTTTTTGGAATAAATGAGAGACAATGAGAAGTTTTCTTTTGAACATTTGGGTTTCCTTCGACAAGAATTTTGATAACTTTATAATATAGATAGTATACTTTATTGTTACACAGCAACAGAAGAACGCATAAATATAATAAGTCATATGTCAAATCCGAAATTTGTTGATGTTACCTTTTTCTTGTTACTTGTCCTATAATTATTTATTATAGCTCAATACACATTACATCAGTTTTTTCTTGTCCTGCACGTGTCTGATAAAGCATGTATTGCTCACATTATAAAAGGCTATTATTGTCTATGGGATTAGAAATAAGTACCTACTCTTCACAATAAAGAGGTGCTCACATAGAGAGGTTTTATTGCATTTCTATAAAATTTTATTGCATGTGATTTTGAAAAGAAATTGAAGGCTCTGTATGTTGTGAAAAAAATTCAGTCGCTAGCTATGAAAACGAATAGGAATACTAAGGAAGTACTGAGTTTTGAGTTCACGGTTCTTGATTAGAGGAAATGGAGGATGGAGCTTCGTTCGAGTTCATCAATATTTCAGTTCTGCTGGAGTAAAACGACAATGTCTCATATTTTGTAAAATTCAATTGCTTAAAAATTTTATTCTTTTAAAAATGTATATCAATATTTGTCATCGCAAGATATGTGAGATAAAGACGTTTTTGATTCTATTTTTTTATCATACCGATTGTATTACAAGATATTGGATGTGTCATTTGATACCATGGAATATTTTGAATATTTTGTTCTCGTACAATATTAAACGATGGCATTGACCCTATTATCATAAAAAAATTCTTGTTAGACGAATTTTTTTTGTTCATTACTTACAAATATTATAATTATTATCATTGTAAATCGCAAGAAGATATCCGGAATCAACTGACCATATAATATCAGTTATTGGTGCAATATTATTCTGTATAAATCGTATATATTTTTAAAAAAGTTGACTCTGATTTCGTTCTATACCTGAGGAATTCCATCTGCTCGAAGGTTAAATTCTCCATTACCTAATACATTAAATATATAAATCATTCCATTTTGTAATCCAACAGCTAAATCTTCACCATCTAAATTAATCAAAAAATACAATCTTATCAAGTATTTTTTTAATAAATCATACCTGGTGAAAATCGAACAGTTTTTACTCCGGTATTAATCTTTAATATAATTGTTGTTACATAACATGAAGATAAAGTATCATAGATAAGTAATTTGCTTGTTTCAGTTCCAAGAACAATTATATTTCTTTGCGGATGTAAAGTTGCACATGATATTAATTGCTGAAATGAAAGAAGTTTAATTTTTATTAAAAATAAGAATAAAAATAAAATTAACCGGAGACTTAATTGACCATTCAACGGATCTTGTTCTATTATTCCATTTAAATAAATATCGATCAGAACTTATAGAAAAGAAATAATTTGTATTTTTATTAGAACATACACATATCGGTGGACTTATATGTCCCTAAAAACAAAAGAATTATTCATTGATATAAATTTCAAATTTTTTATTTATAAACATACACGCATAATAATACTAATTTGTTCTGTATCAAATTCTTTTATAAGAATATAATTCAATTTTGTTCCAATTGCTAATCCTCGTCGAATAGAACAAATTGATTGAATTGAACCAAAAGTATCTTTTAACTAATTAAAACAAATGAAAATATCATAAAATTCTCTTAAATTAGTACAATCGTTACTGATATATGTTTAATTGTATTTAACTTAACATGCCAAAGTATCATTTGATTTTGTCCATCAGCAAGAAGAAGGACATCTTCATTAATAGATACAATAATATGCACATCATTCTATAAATGAAATATATGTATATAAGATATATGGTCAATTCTATCGGGTTGGAAGTGTACCTAAGACCATTTGGTCTTTTCTCTTGATTTCTAAAGTATAGAGATAGGAAAGTCGTAAATTCAATTAATGAACAAGTTTGATAAAAGTACGTTTAAATAAAAGACTTTACGAAAGACGATCAATAATTTTATTTTCAAACAAGATATATAAACTGAACAACAATAAATCATCAATACTAAAATATTATTATAACTGGTTAAAAACAATATCCTGCAAAATTCAATTCAATGAAATATCCTCAGATAAGTTTGTAAGTACTGAGAAAAAAATATGAATTATGATTACCTCTAAAATACTTTCTTTAACACCGGCTAATTTTGGTTCATTATCAATTAAACACCAGACATGTATACTTCCAACTTTATCACCAACAATCAATTGTTCACCACTATTATCACATGCTACTGCACCCGTATAAATATTCTAATATTTTTGAAATATAAATAGAAAATAATTAATGATATGTATTTTCAAATATCATCTTACTCGAACTTCTGATTCTCGTTGTACTACAATTTTTAATGGTTTTGAATTCCAATTAATACGATAAAATAGTAAATATTGTTGACTTATACATGCAATCCATTCATTTGTATTAAAGACAAATAATGCCGATAATATTTTATCAGATTTAGTCTAAATAACAAAAAAAATTATCTACTATCCATTTCAATGTATAATAAGTAGATTGAAAAGAAAAGTATCATTTCTAAATCAAAAGGAATATAGTTTTCAGAAATTTCGATATACTTCGATAATCGTAGATCTCGATGATGTTTCTATCAAAATTTATTCAAAAAACAATCGAACATATTATATTTTGAAATAAAAAGTAGATTTTTTAATGAACAATAATACTTACAGTAATACTATAGATGATTTCATTACGTTTCCAATCGATAAATAAAACAATTTTTGGTCTATCACGTGAAACAATAAGAATAAAATTATCATCTGATTTAGGTGAAAATGATAATAGAGATATATCAGAACCAAATTGTTCTTTACGTAATTCAGCTATTGTTTCAAGTTTCATATAATCCCAAATGTGTACTGAAGCATAAGGACGATCTTTTGATAATATTGTTTCACTTGAAGCAACGAATGAATTATATCGATGAATAGTAACACTAGATTAGCGAAAACAAAAAACATTTCACATACTAGATTGTTCCTGTTAAACAATCAATAGTGATGAAATTAACTTAACATTGATTGAAAGAAGAAGAAAAAAAGAATGCTCTTGACAAAACTTGAATTATGCACTATCATCAGTGTAGAATATGATCATCAGTAATTTTGTAATCGTAAGATCCTAGCGACGCATGTATTTTGGCAACTAGAAATGTGGCTCTATCGACAACACATCAAATATGCTATCTTTAAATCTGAAGAGACAATGTATAAAAAAATTCACACAGTCTCGACGTACGAAATACAATAGAAAGAAATTTTCCAAAGTTGAACGTCTAAAAACTCCACAAGGGTGAATATCTATTTTCGGAAGTATAGATACATAGTAAGTAGTATAATAATTACAATTTGTAGGATGACTTAGTTAATTGACTGATTATAATTAACTATCCGTTTCTATCAATAGCTAACACTAATGACTTACTGCAATATCACTTACCAAGTTATTGGATTATTGTGTTTGGTATAAAATCGTTGTTGTTTTGAATCAGGTTCATATAAAATACATATTGAACTGATTACATAGAGTATTTCATTTTCAGATAAAGTATAGAGAGTTTTTGTTTTCTCTTTGGTACCATCATAACCGTGACTAAATATCATGAGATTAAAAAAGAAAAACAATTTTTTTTTTGTAAGAAACAGATTTTTAACTTACATCCAACTAATGGATAATTTAACATCTAGAATAATTATATTTATTCATAAAAGAAAACGTTAAGAATATTTGAAAATAAATACCTTGTTTCGGAATAGATTTTTGAAATTCATTTATTGATTTTTTTGGTGATAGACTATAAGCAAAGAAATCACTAGATCTTATTGTTGGTAAATAACGTTTTGAATGTTGAAATTCTTTATCTGTACATCCAATAAATCGATCTGTAATTTTAAGTGTATTAAATAAATGTGAAAAACTTTTTATCTATATAGAACAAAAAAAAAATTTCTAAAAAAATGATTTTTTTTTTCTTTACTTCAATAAATGCAAATTTTGTTATTGCATATAAATGTGTTATAATATCATTATCAACATAATGAGAAAGTAAATCTGTTACTTCTTTATTTAACCATTGATCAAATTTGATTATTAAATTTCGATTTAATATCATAATTTCATACATAGTTAAACAAGAATATGGTAATATATACAGTTGTTCACCATTTATTGATGATGAATACCATGGTTTTAAATCTAATGATCGTTTAATTCCATTTGAAAATTGATTTTGTTGATTAATACGTACATCTGAATCATCATTAAATTCATCACTAATAATATGACGATAACTTGTTTTAATAAATATTCCCGATGCAACAACATACGATTGACGATTTTGAAATTTATTAATTGAACGAATTTCTTGACCATTAAGAGAATAAACATGTTGAATACCTCCAGATGATAAAGTAAGTTTTGGTTGTCGATTAAGATAATTAAGAAATGCTTCCCAAGATTTAATTTCTAATCCATTTATCGCAACTTTTACACCTGAATGATATGCATCACCATTACGAAAGAATTGAACTAAAATACCTTGAACTGCACGACGATCAATCGAAGAAATAGACACCATTGATGGGACTATAACAAAAATTAAAGAATTTCAAGTATTTGTATTATAAAAAATTTCAAACTTTTCTATATTAAGACCACTAGTGTTTCTATTGGTTATTAGAGTCTACTGGTGCCTGTGCGATGACTAGCAGTATATAAGTTTGTTTTAGTCTTGGTCTTGGCGGAATCGAAATCTATTTTTCGTATCAAGTTCTAAGTTATACATAGTCATAATGATTATTTTATTCTGATTAAGAATATGGAAATTGACTGCCTGATCAACGAAAATTTTTTGTGGATTTTTTTTTCTTTTTTCAAGAACCCTGTATAGATTTTTGAATACCTGAAATACAATATACATCAATTTTATTACATCTTTAAGAACTACGACTGGTGAGAAAATATTTTGAACCACATAATCGAGTTGAATTATTCATTTAGATACTATATGTATTCGAAGAATTATACAGATTATTGAAAATAAATTGTTTGATTTTAGAAACGAAATTAAATTTTCTGGTTCTATTCTAATTAAATGTCATTTGAGTATTTTTTTTGCCTAGATCGAACAATGAAAATTGCCTAGCGTAACAACGATGTACAGAGGGTATTCTTATTGATAAAATACTCATTAGCTGTAAATGTTTTATAAGTGATTAATATTTTACATTTACTCTTTAACTTTTGATGACAACTGGCTTTTTTTAATTATGACAATATCGAGATTAAAATAAAATATAGAATAAAAAAATGTTCTCGACCATTAACAGAAAGCATTTTTTTTCTCTAAAAATGATGGACTTTGTCAATGAATAGAATGTATTTTTAAATAAAATATTTTTACTCCTATTTGATTATTGATAATAATTGCATGTGATAACTATTAAGAATTTTTCAATTGAAAATTAAATAATCTTTATTTTTTGATACTAACGTGTTTTTCTTGAAGAATTCTGTTGAAGTGATGATGCTTTATTATCTGTAATAACCACAGATTTTGATAATTTTTTTGAATTTTCAATTTTTGGTATTCGAGTAAATTGTTTTGGTTTTGTAATACGTTTTAAATCTTGTGATAGTTCATCTTCATTATCAATTATCAGTGATGATGTATGATCATCAGAATTATTTTGTAGTATACTACTATTCATTGATTGTCTGTGTTCAGATAAACTTTGTCGAGATTGAAGGTCATCATTATCATCAAGTTTATTCGTTTCAATAGTAGACATTCTCGTAGATTTATAATTGCTTTTACGGTTCTGAAGTTTTATTAGTGTATATGTTAGTAACGACGAAAAAGAGTAAAAATGAATGTTACTCAAGAATGCTTATTTTTTATAGCTAGCTACCAACATGTTTGTCATTATCTAGAGAACAAATTGTTATGTTTCTTTGGAAACTAGGCAAAATAATAAAAAAAGTGTGAGAGAAAATGATATTGTTAAATAATATGATTAAAGTATTTTACCAATGCATTAAATAAAAGAATAAGAGAGAGAAAAAGAAAACGGTAAATATAAATGAGTACAAAAAAAAATGTTAATATAAGTGTATTCAATTGTTGATGAGTATGTTTCTATTTTTTTCTTTCCTACCTAGTACTTTTTCTGTTATGCTGAGAAATATTTCAAGAAAATGAAGTAATAATAATATTGTATAAACACTTAGGTAGATAGGAAGAATACAAAATAACATAAGTAACGAGTAGGCCATATGGAAAATTTCAAGCTTTACAAAACTACAGACTTCACTTTAAAAAAAAGAACTATTTTCCTTTGCATGATGACCAAAACATTTATATATTTTGTATATTCCAACTGCAACGTGTCGTTACCCATACTTTGCAAAATCAAGCACGTAATCGGTCTACCCGTTATAATGATGGAAGACAAAATATAAATATGAATTAATATAAGATATTTGGATATTGAAGATTCAATACTTAATTATATGATACATAAACATTTGCATACAAAATATAAAATATTAAACGATATAACCTTGCTTTTTGAGGAAGTTTTTGGAGAATAAGCCTGAACTTAAAATTATGATAAACTAAAATTATAGAATTAGTGCTAATTGTAAATAATTGTATTGATTTCTATATTATCTTTATAAATCAAAAAATATGCATAATATGAAGGATAAAAAATCGAATCGTTCTAAAGTTCAAGTTTTTTTATATAAAATATTGAAATTTCGAGCATAAAATCTCTAAATGTATGAAAGAACAAAAGTGAATACAATTACAATAGAAGAACAATCGATAAATTTGACAATATTTCTGCAGAAAAACGAAAAATATGGTATATATAAACGGAACTTTATCAGACAAGTGTAGCATATTCAAAATCAATTCTTGTTTACAAACATAGATATAATGAAAAATTGGTTTTGTGGAACGGATTACTATTATATGTCAAGTTACCTAGTACATTTATCTAAATAGTACCTCATTTAATGCTTGTTTATACCTAGATGTTTCTATATCCACATCTCTATTGCGAAAATTTTTTGTCTAGATTAAATTAGATCTTTAATGATACTAAAGAGAAATTAACAATCTTATATGCAAAATGGCTAATTGACTATCTTTAACAAACTGCGTGTTTAGTGAAACAAATAATAAATGCGCGTTTTCCTATGAGATCTTTTTATCAATTATTATTCTCGATTACATGAAATTCATACGTTTATGTTTTTTTTTTTTGCTTGAATTCTTTTAGCAAATGAAACGATACAATACACTTTATCGATCGATAACATAGTTTAATACTTTGAATCGCTTGTATGTTATTATTAATGGGTGCATGTATTTGTCATAAAAAAAATGAATACTTTACAATAAATGATCTCAATGGAATAGATAAATATTATTCATTAATGTCAAAACGAAAAGCAGATATTTTCATGTGGCTTATAGATTCAAAAGGCCCATGGGAAACACCTGAATCATTTTTATGTTTTAAACAAAATGATATTAAAAATAGTCCTGTCAAAGTATCGAACGAAGATGAAATAAAAATTCGTGTATCAAAATCAAAACCGATTATAAATAGTAGTTTGCGTGCTGGTCAAAAAGAACTATGCATGAAATTGAATCCGATTAAAGTACCTTTGTCAATTGTTCCTTCTACTGATATTAATAAAAAACTTTTATTAGATTCATCAAGTGATTGGTAATATTCTTGCTTTTGTTTAATTGATGAGTATAAATGAAAATTAAAAAAAAATATATATTTTTACCATTGAGAATAATAAATTTGTAATATGACATCTGTGAGAAAGATTTAACTTTCATTTATACATGTTATAAGACATTTTATTGGAGCTTTTCTTCTTGACATAATCAACGTCATAGTTGCTTTGACATTCAATAAAAAAACAAAAAGACTTTATCTTTTATCTACTTCCGTCAACAAACATCGGTTGTTAATCCTTCCAAGTTGTCGTTCTTGGATGAAAAATCCAACTCACAATATTTTTATTGCTTTTTATTCCTAGGATAAAAAGAAGGTGCATGCACATAGACACTATATCATTTAGTTTTTAGTTAAAAGCAGAGAAAAAAAGCATAAAACTCGTTTCTTTCAAGCAATTAAACCAATTGAAAATCAAACAACTCTTAGTGAAGCATTCTTTTTGTGAGAAGTAAGTATTGTTATGTGCTACAAAAATTTAATATATGTTTCGATGCAAATTTTACTATATTTTAGTCTCTCTTTATCTTGATTCATATGGATTAGATAGTTTAGCAAAGCTAAATGTGTCAAAGAAAAGAGATGTATGATAATGAATGATTTCTATGTAATACTAAAGTATTTTATTACAATCTAAATCCTTTGACAGCAAGACGAAGTACATCATTCGTAAACACATTTTAAAGCACTTAAATGTAAGAACTAGAATGAGTTTATGCAGAGGAACTGTTAATCTCATCGAATACCTACACAGGTTATGAACTTCTTCATCCTGCTGATGACCGACCTGTCTGATCTGTCACAGACTCGAAAACTCAGGGTCTGTGTCTATCTGATGTGAGTAGCATCGATGGCCTGTTTCAGGATCTTTCTAGTCCGTTGTTGTGCCGGTTATTCGTTGTGAAATGAGTAATAATATCTAAATGCAAGTCATTGCTATATATTATAGCGTAGAATGATATGATTCTATAAGTTTTTAATTAAAACAATTTTGTTTCATATTATTTCTAGAATAATGGCTTCATCAATTCCTTGTTCAGTATGCGGAAAACGTGCAGGCACTTGCATTTGTCCTGGATGCAAAGCATACTTTTGTGATGGTAATTTTCAAAGTCATCGTGAAATATTACTCAATGAATTAGATGGTTTTACAGGATATTGGAATGATTTTCGAGAAAAAATGATCGAGGGTCGATTCAAACAAATGGTCTGGCATTAATCTTCTTGCAAGAATTGATGCATGGCAACAAACAACCATCGAGAAGGTTAAACAAACTGCTGAACTGGCTAAACAAAACGTCCGTGAAATCATGAATTCTAAATGGGAAGGAATCAAAAGATAGTCCCAAATGTTGTCACAAGAATTGAAAGAACTACGAAATACAAAAGGGGTTGTTGAACAGGATTTAGCTCGATTGAAGCAACAAATTCGTTAACTTAATGATGATTTAGAACAAGTAGCGCAGTCATCGGTAATGGAACTAGATATGAAACAGAGTGATGAAATTGTATGGAATCGTATGATATACGTTGAAGAAAGATCTGTATATGCTGGTAATCGGTCACACCAACTAAAACCAGTCGGTGAGCATTTCAATCGAGTCTGCAACGAAAGCTTTAAATATTGTTTGTTTTTTACTAACTAGCAAATCATAACCTCGCTTTCATGTGATCAAAATGATTTAATATAATAAGTAGGATAAAAATAATAATTTGAGCGGTGAAAGTGCATACAATGAGTATCCAATAAGGACGAACATCAAATAATATTTCTTATCTTTTACATAATGTCCAAAACACACATTCGTCATTAAATTTTCTACTCTTTCATCTGCAAGAAGACCATAGCATGAGAAAATGAATATAAGAATCTTTCGACTATGATAATTATGAATCAAAAAACCTTCAGTCACTTATTATGTGATTTATTACGTCTTACGAAAAAATGATCAAAGCTATGCGACGTGTTATACACAACATCGAAATTGCTATATTTCTTTGTTCTAAAGCTGAAAACAAAGTCAATGTAAATAAAACTTTATTGACATCCTGAAATAGATGGATCTCTAACAAAAATATATATATTTATAACGAATATTCATTACTATAGACCCAAAAAAGTATTCATCCCATGGTTTCAGTCACTTTTTTCGGCTTTCCTTATTTATCTTTGATTATATTATGAGCATGCTTACTCAGTAATGTTCATTTCTATGTAGTGATTCTACAACAAACGCAAGTACTCTTCATTTTCAATCCGTAATTTTTTGATAAGTTATTTATAACTGAAAGAAAAAGTGTAACGGTCCGGTTTTTTTTATAAAGTTAATCAGTTTTCAAATAACAACAGTAATTCGAATATGATTTAGTTAAATACGTGAAAAAAGTGACCAACTACAATTTGCTAGATTTTTTAGATATTTCGCGATTCAGAATCTATATTCAAGCTAGTTTTTGTTTAAGTCAGATTGATTCTTATAAATTATCATCTAACTCTTAGTTTTATTTGATGTACTATGAGAAGCTCGAACTGAACTGTTTTAGGTTTCAGTGAGATTCTGAATCTTGCTCAAAATGCTTTGGTACTGTTCAGTTTAAACAATAACCTAGAAAGGTGTACTTTCTTTCTTTATTAAAATCAGAATAACTTTCACTTCACAAATCGATAGAGTAACCCTGTACACATCACCATAACTCAGTCGCTGCAATTTATTTCGGCGAAATGATGAGTCTCTTTATTTAGAAAAACAACAGCGAGATGCAACCAGTAAACTGGAAAAACTTCCATATGATGGTGATGCTCATCCGACACATTATATCTATTCAATTTTTATGCAACTTATTATTAGCAAAATCCATTAATTCATGAAATCGGTTTTAGCTTGATTAGTGATTTAGCTTATGACGAATGTTCTCAGAAGTCTTCATCAAACATGAGATTTACAGTCATTTTGTTAGCCTTTAAAGTGTTGCTTACACTGAATGAAATATCGGAGCGTAAGATTTATTTTCATTATTCACTATTACCAAATTTTTGTTACTGAAACTTTTCACAATATTTACTTTCAGAATCTACAACAAATGTGAAAAATCATGTTTCTAACTGCACATGCGATGTCAATGCTCTACTTACAAGCCTATGTATTTCCAAGCTTTCATTAGAATTTTGCAGAATAGATAAACAGAAGTATGATCACAAACATACATTTGCCACATGATCTTGCATCGTCTGATGAATGTCACTTTCTTCTCTTCGCAATGAAATGAATAAGTAAACAGAAATGTCGTGAAGAATAGTCATTTGTAATGTGATCTTGCACTATTCGATGAATCTCGTTCGCCTATCTTCGAAATCAAATAGATAATTGAATAGAATTATGGTGACAAGTATTAATTTGTCCTGTCATTCCGGATCATCTGATAAATCTTTCTTTCTTGTCTTCGACATAAAATGAATAAATGAACACAAATATTATCAGAAATATTCATTTGCGGTGGGATCTAATATGATTTGATGAATTTCACTTTCTTCTTTTCGAAATGAAATGAATAAGTGAACAGAAGTATTTTCAAAAATATTCATTCTCTATACGATATTAAATCATCTAACAAGTCGTACTCTCTTATCTTCGAAGTGAAATGAATAACTGAACAGAAGTATTCTCAGAAATATTAATTAACTTTGTGATCTTGGCTGATGTGGTGAATCTTGTTGTTTTCCCTTTGAAACAAAATGAATAGATGAATAGAACTATGATGATAAATATTTATTTGTTATGTCATCTAGGATTATCTGATGAAGTTAAATTTCTTTTGTATTCGAAATAAAAGGAATAATTGAACAGAACTATGATGTGAAATATTCATTGCCGTGTAATCTTAAATTATATGATAGATTTCGCTTGTTTGACGTCGAAACCAAATGAATTGGTGAACAAAAGTGTTGGTAGAAATATTCATTTGTCATTTAATTTTGAATCATTGGATAAATCTTCGTTGTTGGACTTCGAAATCAAATGAATAAGTGAATAGATGTATGATGAAAAATATTCAATTGTAATATAATCTTGAACCATCTGATTAGGTTCGCTTTCTTTTTTTCGAAATGAGCAAAACAAATGAATTGATTTATTGAAATAGTATTATTCGATTTTTTAAGTTCATTTTACTTATGTTCTACATTACAATCTTTAATTTAAGTGACGAAGTCAGTAAATAGAACAGATATCAAAAATATTCATTGATCATAGGAGAACGACTCATTGTGTTGTCTGTGTCTTGCTGCTTTAAGGTGAGAAGAATACCTGAATGAGTGCATCGTTGGAAGCGTTCTTTTATATGTACTCTCTGGAAATCTGTAGATTTGTAGAATTTTGTTAATATGAAGGAAGATAGATGAATTATGAGAGTAGTTTTCTATCCATGGTCGAATCAAAAATAACTTTGATAATTGTAATGTAAATGATGTTTTTGACGAAACATGATAACTGTTTTTTTTTGTGATTTAGCTATTTTGTTGGTCAAGTAAAAATAGTGAACGAAGTTCGCTGAAAAATACTTTTGCATGCAGTTAATATGACGGCTTCACATAGATCACATGTTTTCTCAAATGATATGCATAGGAAATATACAATGACAGATTTTTCGCAAAAAATTATAAGATCAAGATTTTTGTCATCTAAGATTGTTCCGTACAAGAAAATATTATTAATATGGTAAATAATGAAGTGAATAATCTTTCTTATTGCACAGTCAAAAATTACTCGAATGGAGCATAAAACTGTTTTCTCAATCGTTATTGATTTAGTAATGACTTGAATTGGCTTCATTTTTGTATATACATATATATATTAATCATCTCATTGTTAATATTATATTTTTGGTTATCAACAAATAAACTATAGTTTTGATTGCTCTAATCAATCAATGTGTCACTTTCATGACGTCGCGCATTGTAAAGCGTTTATTTTATATATAGACTAGAAGAAACGAGACGGAAATGTTAAATCCACTTAATGTTTAAGATCAAATTTATTTGTCATATCAACTAGAATTCCAGTTATTCAGTAAAAGTTTATAATCACATATAGAAGCACTCGGACGCATACAACAACATATTTATTAACATGCAAGAAAATCTATTCGCATAATGACGTTTATCATTGTATATTGTCAAAATGTCAAATAGCAATTATTTTTATGACTGATTTGAGCATTCATAATAAACACATTCATCGCAGTCAATCTTGATTTTTTTGAAATAGTTCTATTTTATTTTAGTTTTAGCACTTTTTTGAAAGAGTATCAAAAAAATACCGAAAATCGAAAGTGCTGCAAAAGATTTATAGAAAGTTATCTAATGATAAGTTTTGTTCATAAATGAAATCATCTTTCTTTTTCTGTCGAATAAATTTCTCGCAAGTAAAGTTAACGATTGAAATAAATTAATATTTATCTGCGTAATTTTTAAAAACAGCAATCTAACGAGAATGATATATGTTTTTATTCATTACTTTATATATGATAATTACTCTCAACTATCAACTGATATCTATAAATGATTAGCTATTTTAGTTACAAAAGGTCATCAGATTTATTAACATTTCTGATTCATTCAAAGATTTCTTTCAATCATTTCATCAGTCCGGTACATTGAGTAAAGCTTGAAATAATTTTTATTCGATTTCAATCCTGAAATGCTATCGTAAAGATTCTTAAATCAATAACATCTATGAACTTATAAAATCAACATTGATTTTGATTTTTTTTTTTCTTATAGTACTATAATCAACAATAAAATTCCGTTGAAATATAGAGAAATTCATAAAGAAGTCACTGTTGAATGTTGTCAATTAACAAATATTCTTATAAGCAAAGAAGATCAAAAAATATTCAAGCGATTCGTACGCCATCTTGTTACATTACTGCATAGCTGTGATATAGAACGCGTCAGCTGATTTACGTTGTTGTTATTTGCATGTTGTTTATGTATGTGTTCTTCATTTTACAATTAGTACTATTATACTATTTATTTAACTAGTTATCTATAGGCATGGAATGGATCAAAGTTGTTCGACTAATTACGCATATATTACATGCTGTTTAATTATTGCTGTTAATTTAGTTTACTTTATTTTTACATTAATTAAACTTTATATACAATATCAACGACGACTGTTAACAAGATATAATAAAAAAATGACAGATCAACAAAACGAAACATCGACAACAATATCACATGTTACAACATCAACGGTAAAAACTGGTTTAGAACGTTTGGCTCAACTTTATCCACATATAACTGAAGATACACCATTACCATCGAAATGGAATTCAAAAGAAAAAGCACCACCTTTAGTACTTCAACAAAGTAATCTTGTTGTAACATATAAAGGTAAAAATTTGTGTATATGAATTAAAATTTTTCTATTCAATTTTCGAATGTTAGGACCAGGAAAATCACATAAAGATGCAGCTAGCGTTCGCTCTGATCATCCTATTCCATCACTTGCTGGAATTTATTATTACGAAGTGAAAATTATTAGCAAAGGTCGCGATGGGTAAGTACAAACTATTTATTTTATCATTAAATATATCTAATGATCTTTAGGATTTCATAAAAAGTTTGAGCGAAAACGAATATTACTTTCCTTAGAAAAGAAGTTTCAAATAAATTTCGATTTGAACTCTTCTTTCTTTCTTAAAATAAATTCGAATTTTCAACAGAAAAAAGAAACGTTTTTTTCAGCTAAAACTATCAGTAAAATCTCGTTACAAGTCAACAGACATCTATTCGTAACTTTAATAGATAGTCGGAGGACTGTCAATAGTAGTCAATGTTCTTTGACTATACATTCATGAAGCGCATCGTATGCTTTTGATGTCTCAATGGCGATGCCGTCGCTTAGGATAATAGAGCATATCGTCTTTTATGGAGTATCTGTGACATTTATCGTTTTTTTTTTTTCGTATAATTAGATATATGGGTATTGGTCTTTCAACTAGTGAAGTAAATCTCAACCGTTTACCCGGATGGGATAAAGGCTCATATGGTTACCATGGTGATGATGGTCATTCATTTTGTTCATCAGGTTCTGGCATTGCCTATGGACCAACATTTACAACCGGTGATTTTGTTGGTTGTTGTGTAAATTTCCTAGAAAATTCTTGTTTTTATACTCTCAATGGTTATAATATTGGTCAGTTCTTTTGTTTTATTAATGCAACTTATTCATACATCTATCCCTTGTTTTAGGTACATCATTTAAAGACATACCGGTAATTAATACTACTAAATTATCTTTTTCTTTTGTGCGAAACTCACATGTATTTTCGAAAAAATTAGTGACAGTAAACGTTAATCGAGGCTTTGGTAAATCCTTCTCCCTAGAATTTATCAACAAGAACTTGTCGGACTCAAAAAGTTCACATCCATGGCCTATGGGTTCTAACTACAACTGAGGACAATGAGTACGAGATTCTTTTCCCAGAGTTTTTACCAACGGAAAAAGAGCTGAGCAACATTAACAACAAGACTTAAAATGGTTGAAACATGTTTAGTGCAGATGTCATCATATGATCAATATAACAATCATGAACTGATCAAGTTATAACTTTAGAATTTAATCAATATCAGTGTTTCTGAGTTGATCGAGATATATTACAGTACGTTGAGAGTAGCTGTAAATGTAATGGATATATACGATAGGCTTATTTCTCACTTTTAAATTAAGAAAAAACGGAATACAAAGCAAAAAGAGCGCCAGTATAAAAAAATTCTGTTCGAAATGAAGAAATAAATAAGACATGATTTCCCTAGTGATCGATTAGCTTTAGAAAATAACAATAATCTGCTATAGATTTTTCACTTGACGTATTTTGTAAGAGTATAAAATAAGACTAGAGAATACATATGAGTTGCACATTTTAGCCTCAACGGCGCTGCACTGACAAGTTTTTGTTTTTGCATCATTTTATTTTATTTTAGTCAGAAATCTATCCAACAATAGGATTACAAACACCACTTGAAGCTATCGAAGCTAATTTTGGTCTTAGCCCATTTAAATTTGATATAGAAAAATACATGGGCGTAAGTAAAAACAGATCTATTTGAAACAAAAAAAAAAAAAAAACAAGGTTTTATTTTAAAACCAGGAATACCGAGAAAAAACTCGTCGAGCAATAGTGGAATGTACATTAAAAGAAGGCGAATTATTACATCAAATTCAATTACGTCGTATTGTTTCAACATATCTCGTTCATTATGGTTATTGTGATACAGCTGAACAATTTAATAAAAATGCTGAAAATGTCTATGCCGATGAACTTAATTCTATGCGTAATAGACAACGTAAATATAAGAACAAAACAAAAGAAAATTTCTAAATTTAATATATTTCTTATTTTTTAAGTTATTCAAAATTTAATTCTCGATGGTCATACAACAGATGCAATTGAAAAAACTAAAGAACTTTTTCCTACATTGCTCAATAATAAAAATCTTTTATTTGTGCTCAAAGTTCGTCAATTTATTGAAATGATAAATGGAACTGAAAGCGAAATTTCTAAACCGTCCATAACTTCTCAAATAACAAATTCTTCATTAATTAATCATAAAAATCATTCGAATAGTTCATGTTCTAATAAAAATTCTTCTTGTGCAGCAACAACAAATGAACGTTCATCATCACCCGTCAATAAATCGAATACATCTTCACGTTCTCGTTCCAATAGTCCATATACATCTGGACGTAATCAAACAACGAATTCAGAAGAACAACAACAACAACATAGTAATGGAACAATCAATTCTTCTTCACGTCGATCAAGTGCAAATAATAACGAATCATCACAAGGTACATTTATTCAATCAAATTTGTAATGAATTTATTATTATCTTTTTTTTTTTTTGTTAATATTTTAGAAATTATTACAACAGTAAATTCATTACCAACGTATAATAATGTTACAAATCTTATGGATATAGATGATGAAATTCATGCTAATAATACAACAAATGGTTTTAGCAATCATGGAACAGTATCCTCTTCTTCTTCTTCTTCTTCCTCTTCTTCCGCTTCTTCTTCTACAAATCAAATTTCTAATGGTCATTTACTGTTTGATGACGATAGTAATAATCTAATTATTGATAAAAATACAAACAGTAATGGATGTTTAACAAAATCAACAGAAACTTTCGATAGAATGGAATGTGATGGCATTAATGATTTAAATCATACAATGGATATAGAAAAAGATTCATCTGATGTACAGGAAAAAGATGATCAACTTCTTGTTAAAATTCTTCAATTTGGTAGAGAATTACTTGCACTTAAACAACAATTAAATAATGAACATGGAGACAATACACAACATGATAAAATATTACAGGTATACTTAGATAAATCACATATAAAAAGAAAAAGAAAGAAAAGACACGTGTCTTTCTTTTATTTAATGATAAAACATTAAATATATATATTCAGTAACGTCAATTATCGATTATGAATCTACAAAGTTCAATCTTAAAATCTGTAGAATATTATTAATAAAACAACGAGAAGTGCTCACGAAGAAACCTCTTCAGAGATCTCTCTCGAATTTCAGTAATTTTTCATCTATAAATATTACATAATTGTGCATACAGACAATTCAACAATCCTAATTAGTTAGATAGTCTATGCAACATACATTTTTAAAAAGCTTCATATCTCGCAGTGACTTTATTCAAAACTTCTGAATTTTTGTATGAAAGCTAATCTTGTTGAATTCTTTTCGATCAAAGTCCCGTAACTTAGTCAAATCTCAATAGGAACTGTAATTCTTTTAAAGTTTTTATTTGAACACTATCTCGTGATCTATAGACAGAAAAACCATTGGAACCGGAAAGCAACATCTGAGGAGATTATCTCGTTCGTCATTTTTTTTTTTGTAAAACTATCATGTAAAATTAGTTTTGACTTATTCTTCTCGTATTCGAAGTTTTTCCTTTCAAAAACTTGTGCCAGTACCATCTTCACACTGACATACCGTAGAGTTTGAATTACGAAGAAATGAGTGATATATTCTTTATATCTTTCTATTAAAGTATCATATTTTCTAAATTATAAATCCTACTTATACGATTCTTCTCGAAAGTCAACTAAATCTTAATTTCTCGTTTGAGCTTAGATCGAAGTTACAGAAAAGTCTCGACAAGACTAGAAAAATCCTAAGTGTTCGGTCCCGTTGGCAATTGGAGCCGAGTTATGACCGTTGTATTGAGATGTTCAAGTATATATTCGAGAATTTAGCCCATAGATAGTTCTGATGATCGTTAGAATATTCTGAAAGTTTCAACCGAAAAGAATATTTCTTTTTCAACATATTGAATTTCCAAAAAAAGTACTTTTACCATAGGTATATCATAAAAATAGAGTTTACTTGAAAATTAAATATCTCGACACAAAACATTCTTTTTGGCTGAAAGTTTCAGGATATTCTATAGATCATTAGGACATATTCAGTTCCAAATGTGTACGTTGGCGAACCATTTTAGACTTTTCCTAGCCTTACTGAGCCGTTTTCTTGAAATCAAATGGCAAGTTACTGTTGAAGTAGTTCTCTAGTGAGAATCTATTCATCATGTAGTAAACGTTTGCCTTTTTTTCTGATTACTTGAATTTCTTTTTTTTTTTTTTTTTTATTTATTTCAGGATGCATTTAGCTTATTAGCATATCCAGATCCTAAGTCATCACCACTTGCCCATCTATTAGAACCATCTCAGCGTGAATCTGTTTCCAGTATACTCAATAGTGCCATTCTTGGTAAATAAATTGATCTATTTTCTCTTGTTTTATTTTTGTTCATATTTAATCGAACTACCATTGTAGAAGCACATGATATGCCTCGACATCCTGCTCTTGAAGTACTTGTTGGTTATTTAAATGAATGTGACAAGTTAATGCATAAGAACAATATACCCGATTGTGCCTTCGTTGAATTGAACAAATATGTACGATAAAAATATCTATGTACAGAACACTGTCAATTTTTGTTTTCTTTCTCTCGGTTTTTTTTATTATTGTTTCTGAACACATATATGTATTAGCAGCATTTTTTTATTACAGGTTGTTTGTCTTCGTGGTTATTTTTGTTTTCTAAAACCATTTTCTGAACAACAGATTTTCTCATATTCATTAGAAAAAAAATGCACCAAAAAAAAAAAAAGGCTATTACTATCAGGCATGAAATATATATGTGTGTACATTTTTCTTTTTTTAATGTGTGTTGATTAGAAAATCAGAGATGAGGTTTTTTCTTTCTTTCATTTGTGTATTATTTAAGCACCTGTAATTTAAAAATCTCCTTATTTTCTTGTTTGTGTTTGCTGCTTTACTATATGTTCTTGCGACATTTTGTTTGTTTTTCTTTGCAACAGTCACACAAACGTGAATAATAGGCCACTTTAAAGTGTCTGTTACCTACGACTGAAATAAAACTCTTGTTCCATATATTAGTCGCGATAATAAAACGAAAGATAAAATTGATTTTTCAAATTTTCAAAAGGAAAGTATTATTAGTATTGAATTGAAAAAAGAAATAATCTACATTTGGATATTTATTTCATTATCTTTTAAAACTTTATAATCTTATGTATGATTTTATATATGTCAATATCGTAAGGCCCTTTCAAAAATTGATCTTGAATCAAATGTAATTAAATCGTATTAAATTTTCAGTCTTACATCATAATGTTTTCAAGTGATATTCAACAAACAAGGATTCAAAAATAATTCATTGAGCAACCTGAAATTCTCCCTGAACAGTCATTTTATATATTTAATGTTTTGTCTATTTGAAAGAACATGTCAAGATACAGTGCGTGACAGAATCCGACTCTATATCATGCCCTGCATCTTGGAACGGTTACACGATCAAAAAAGAATAAATCAAGNTAGTTAAAGGTCGATATCTCAGCCAGATCTCAACTTGGGCCCGAACTAACTTAGGGTATATCACTCCTAGCTATGGCCTATCTAACCATCATATCCTCGACCGAAAAGCTTTTTGACACCTTGGATGGTTCCCTCGTAAGACAGAAGCTAATTGATATTTGACAGATACTTTCATATATGCATAGGACGATTTTCATGCTTTTATTTTATATTAAAAAAAAATATTCTATTTAGTCTCTTCTAATATTAACAACAAAAGAAATAGAGATTATCTCAAAGTCTACGAAGAAGGTGAAACAAATAGATTAGTATTCATTTGGTTTTCGTTCAATTCTGTTGAAATCTGATCAATTTCGCTAAGTAGAGACCTGCTCCTTGTCGATGATACTGGAATAGAACTGTTTGATAATTTATTGTCCTCTGCATGTATTCAGCTACTTCGTCATATGGTTCATCATCATCAGTAAATGAATTCCACTTCATATACATCAGTAGTTTGAAAAAGTAAAAATATTTCGAAACATTGATGTCTCAGTAATGGTTGGATATTCATCTTGGTTGCAGGAGACTAATAACATGTCATCGAAAAATGAACATGGTATGATAATCAATCTCATTACTAAGATTAATTTGAAATTCATCGATTCAGTTTTCCCACATTGAGATAATTTATATTACTTCTGATCTTTTCTATATAGACGCTTTGAATTTCTTTTATCGCAACAATATTTCCATATTTATCTGATACGTGACAAAATAACCATGAAAAGAAATTCTCACACTTCGTTCGCATCAACGATTTCAATTTCACATGATTGAGATTTATCGCTTTTCTCAACGAGCCATTGTTGAAAATTAAATGATTAATATGGTAGAAAAAAAAACATAGGGACAAGATGTTTATCAAAAAATTTAAGCTGTTTTATATTATGTTGAATCAAATGACTTATTCTACAATTGAAAATGAAGCATTCAGTCGCTCAAAAAAAAAAAAACATTTTACGTAAATGTTTCGTTCATTTTCTTCAACATGATACATATAATTGATTGACTCATTAGTAAGACTCATCTTTATCTGCTGTCAATTAGATTCTCTATTGACCATTACACAATTGTTTTCCATAGTTTCCTATATTGCTAATCAAAAAGAAAACAGAACTAAGAAAAATAACATGCAACGTCCATTTTATTTACAAGTAAACATCAAAGATAATAACATATGAATCACTCAATACGTTTTTACAAATTCGACAAAGAAACAATGCTTAATTTTTATCATGTTAATGATTTTTTCAATTCAATACCTTCTTCTAAACAAAAAGCGAAATAAAAATGTAAAAATGATTAAAACAAAAATATTTTTATAATACCTTCAAGTAATGGATTTGATCGACAAAAAATATTTGTATTAAAAAATTCACCTGTTTGTTCACATCTAATTACTAAACGAAAATCAAGTTGAGATTTTTTTAATTGATAATTTGCAATTTTGCTTTTAACATTATTTCCAATGAATGGATAAGACATGTCATCATTGTTATCTAAAAATGATCAATTGACTTTTTAAATAAACAATAATTTATCTTACCAAATGAATATAAAGTGTTAATATGTTTAAGATGACATTGCTTAAGACGTGTAAGAATTAAATGAGGAAAGCTAAAAAAAATAAGATATAATACACTTTCATTTTTTTATTATTCGACAACATACTGTTTTGAACGAGAACAAATCTCCTCTTTATTTATTTTAAAATAGATTGATGAGCCTTGAATAATGATATCAGAATTTATTTTTTTCTTTGTACATGAATATAGAAGAGGATATGGATGAATAAATGATATATCTTGATAAGGCACAGTAAGACGAGTAACACGTACGAAAAGATTAGAATTATCTGATAGAATTGTTGGAAGCTAAAAGAAGAAAAATAAATATATCAATGTTAATTTTTTCTACAATGAAAGAATTAAATTTAATACATTTGCTTGACATTACTGATAAAATAAACGAAGTTGCATGCAATGATTAGGTCCTATTTTGTCGAAAATAAAATTTCAATGAAAAGAAAGACAGTAGATTATTCTGTTTAATTATATTTTTTTAAAATACACTAATCAAAGATAATGTTTGATAATTCAACATGATTTTTTCAGAAAATTTTATTAGAGAACTGTATTAGATACGCACATAGAAGATATCAGGAGAGAAAACATGTAAAAAAAAAACAATATTTTTTTTTATATCAATTAATCGCATAGATTTTTCAAGATATTCTTCTAACGTTTATGTTTATTGATAAGGATGTGTGAATGTGAGAGCAGCTGTGGATTTGAGTGAACTGAATGCTCACACTCAGACCTTCATCATTAATCAGTTTCTTTAGAAAAAAATATTGTTTAAGATAATCAAAAATAGTTGCTTTAATCTTCCTTTTTTCATTACAATTTAATTTTTCAACGAAATAGGAATTCACTAAATTAAGTATGCGACATAAACAAGTTTATAATTACAGGTGTAAACTGATGGTTTCGTTTGATATCGGCTAAAATTTTCTTAATTTCGAAAATCGATTTAAAAATGAAACAATCTTAACGATTGAAATTCTTTTTTTTTTTAAATCTATTATTGATATTTTGTTCCGGCAGTAGATTATGCTTCTAATCATAGAAATTTCTGTTTTTTCTTTTTTGATAGTACTCTTCACTTACTGCAATAGTAACATATCGACCACGTATTCCTTTGATATATCGTCCTGATAGATGTTTCTTTGTTATTTTCTTTGCATTGACTAAGTTTCCATCGATTGGTGAATTCATAATTTCGCTTAAATAACGCACATGATAAACAGATTCTGGAGGATTAATAAATGAAAGTGATATATTAAAATATTTCAAATCTATCAATGGCTATATAAAGTATAAATATTTATATAACATAGAAAGAGAGAGAATTGTAATAAACTTACAGAATCATATGACACAGTATTTTGCTGTTGATTAGTATAAACGGGTATAGTCGATGATGGAACAGAAATTACTAAATAAATTTATATAAGAATATTTTTCCTTTATGTTACAGTCATTACTTGGATGTTTACTAGAGGCACTATAGATCATATATCATAGTATAATCTGTTTCATCGGCAGAATTTTACAGAAGAAATCCTTGCTTGGGAGAGAGACAAATAAACTAAACAGTAATGAGACTATCTAACATTTTTTTAGATGAGCAAAACACTTTTGATTAACGGATATGATTGCAGATACCATCGATTTTATACGAATATTGCTATGTTCAATCCAAAATTACGTGTAGTGATGGATGAATTAAGGAAAGACTATGTCTTCAACACGGCTATGATGAAACAACTTGATAACAACATATCAACAAAACTCAATGAAACAAAAAAAAATTCTTTGTCATTAGATGAATATTTTAAGAAGATTAGTAGAAAATTACATTTATATTTTGTTATCACTATCTTATGAGCTATTGAATTATGTTCTCATTTCTAGTATTATAATAATTTTCTCTAATAAAAAGTGTCGATGAAATGGGATCAAACACTTTTAAAATAGGGTTAATTGTAGTAAATGATGATCTCTATATAACCATGAACATAGAACATAATAAATATCTTTTACTGCATACAAAAAAAAAACATCGAAACTGATAAAGAGAAAATCAAAATTTCAATCTAAATTTGTGATCAAACAACTATAATAATGTTACTTACTTTGTGGAATATCAATGTTTGTATTCAATAGAAATTGATCAATACATGTTGATTTTTCTTCTTCATCTTCTGTTGAATAATTCAAAGAGCATATATCAAATGAAGACAAAAATTGATTAAAATCAAATGCAACTAAACGATATAAATTTGCACAATATATTATAAGTACAAAAATTATTCAACAAGATTTATTTTCAATTATTTTCCACTACAGTAAGTATTAGAAAACATTCAATAATGGTTCGAATAGAGAAAAGTGTTTCTAACATAGAGACTCCAGAAAAATCAAAACCCTAGTTTTTCAACACCCTTGAGCGTGTCAATAGATTGGAAAAATAACCAAGACCAACTCCAAACCAGTTTTCTGGCATTCATTTGAAGCTTTTTGAAAATGGTTTTATTTGATAGAGCAATACGAAATGTCTCGTTTCTGTTCGTTGTCTTCCTCTATCAAACTACACTCAATTTATACAAAGTTCCAAAGTGTCAAACACGACGAAATCGTTGCAATATTTTATACAAGCAAAAGAAAAATGCTTCTTGAATCGTCTGTAAAATTAATTCCATTTGATAAAGGAACGTCATAGTAAGAGCTGACATATCTCATTTTGCTCTATTAAATAAAAAGCAGTTTTATTGGAGTTTTTAGATCCATCAGCTTCAATAGAGTATCTATTCAGCTGTTCAGATATTTTTTCAGATTCTTCCTAGCTATTACCATCAAGAAAATACAGCTATTCTAAACTTTTGCCCGTCACTATATATATATAAATACAATTCAAATAAAACTTACTATTAATATCGGTAATATCGAAAGGAAACAGACTATCTTCATTATTATCGGATATCATAGCAGTTGAGTTAAAAAGTATATCTTGAAAAACAGGTGATTCTTCTTTTGTCATTGATGTATTAAAAATCTTTGACTATTTAACGACTACAGATAAATGAAACAATCGTATTTAAATGTATATTGTCTTAACCAGTAAAGAAAAATGAAATGCAGAATGGCTCTTCATTTCTGCTTATCTATTAAAATTTAATGGACGAAAAAAAAAAAAAGAGAACATCTGTATGCATCGTATATTCTCAGATATTTTCTTCTTCCTCTCATTACTGTCTTAATTGAGCATAGAGAATAATAGATGATATTGACATTTTAATCGTATTTCTCAATAAGCTTAAAAAGAATCAAAGAAATGTCATCAAATAGACAGTTGTTGTGTCAATGTCAGCTTGCCAAAAAAATATTATTTTTATTAGTGTGAAAAATTCGAATCTTATGAGATTTGAGATCATATGAAAAATCTATGATTAGTCAATTAATCTTGAACAACTACATTTTTCATTTGAAAAAATTCTTATTTAGTATGTACCAACTATGTTAGACTACCATGAATATGTATGTCCACCTAAAAAGTCAATAATATTAAAAGCTTTTTGACACTTCCTTTAATGAATCAAAGGAAGAGGCGCTTTTCACATGGATTATATCCTGTGTTTGTTTTTCTTTTGCTTATGTATGTTTTACTTGTAAGTGATACGATGATATGAAGTAACACAACTAGATATTGAACATTTTCAGTATCAGTTAAAAAAAAAAGAATTACTTCCAAATATCTGAAGAAAGGTTAGTATTTCTAGATTTTGATTATTAAAAATTAATTTTTATCGAAAATATAAATAGGGCGTGTGTATCATTTTTAATTACATCCGTATACATACTCAAACTCACACTTATGCATGCCAACATTCTCAAACTTCAACAATATAAGTGTTATTTATATTAAAAATTTTCAACAAATTCGATCATTATATAAAGAAATGCAAATATAATGTCAAACATTGTCTCTTTCTTTATTCTTTGTTTTCGGTATTGTCTTGAGAAAATTTTACAAACCATATTCATAAACTATGTTCATAATCTACAATAATATCAAGTTGATATTCATTGATATCAGATTCTTTAAATAAATCATTTAACTAGTAAATGTGTAAATGATAATGCTGAACAAAATATCGATGATTTTTAAGAATTGTTGTGTAACAATAAATGGGACAATTTTAGTTTCACTATGTTCAACATATTCAAATAAATGTTATTTTTTAAACTGCATGTAATATTTCAAAAAAATTATTATTTCTTTTATTAAATTTTCAACAACCATTCAATTTCATTGATTTAAAATATAATTAGAAAATGCCTTATTCCAATTGAATTTTCTTAGAAATCAAATGTATAATCATCATCAAGTTATTGATATTACAATGCTATAAATTCGTTCGAATAATTTCTTCAAGCACCAAATCAAAGAAATAAACTTTTCAATGATTTTCTTAATTCCTATATTATAATAGATAGACAAATAATACATGTAGAATATTCAAATTGTTCTTGTTATTTACTCGATTTATCTCTTTAATATATACTCATTAAAAATATTAACTTAAATCATCGTAAATATATGAAAATAAATAAATAATTGATAATTTTCTTTTTTACTAATTCTTCTCGATTCAAAACATCACTTCAATCAACATTAGAATATTTTTATAATTCAACTTGTCTTAATACGGTTTTTATGTCATGAATAAAACATTAGGATATTCATGCATTACATATCATTAATCAATAATCAAGTGAAACAATTAAAAACAATTGGTTATAAATGGATGATTATTAAATAATTCTTTCAGTTTGCACTTTGATGCTGATGTTCAATCATCATATTTATTCGAATGTAACAGTCGGTTTTATAGTTTTTTTTTTTTATTACTGCGATGAATATAAATAATATTTTGGGAGAATTATCTACAGATTACAATATTCTTGAACTGATTTTGATTTGATTAACTGAAAACATATTTCAAGATGATTCTTGCCTAGTTATTATATTATTATGTACTTTTTATATATTCTCTTTTGTTCATGTAACGCGACACTTCGCTGATCAAGTTTCAAAAAAATTTTTTTTTTCGAGTTGAATAGATCTGAATGAATTACTAAATACAGCTCCTAATGTTGATTACGAATTTGGCATTTATTTTGTACAAAAAATTAGAGTTTGATATTGAAAATCGGGTTTTAAACTTTTCAAAAATCGTATTTTGGATTTTCTAATCAAGAAATTTTTCCAAAAAAACAATCGAGTGATATACCATTCGATGTAGAATTTCATTCTATACAAAATGGCCTCCTTAGCGTTGACTTTCGTGACTAAGGACAATTTGTAGTCTTATAGAGTTCTCAATTTACTGCATCTATTGTGAGCTTCCATCTCAATGTATAGATCTCGTTCTTGCGTAGAACGATTAGTTATACAGAAAAGACTAACACCTGTAAAAATCAAATTGTTCTGATCATGTTAAGTGCCTCAAAATTGATCGACAAAAAACTGTGTCACAGCGTTACGCGACCGAAAGCTCTTTCTCGAAGCTCGAGACTTTTACCGAAAAAAGTCTTTTTTTATGGCATAAATAGAGTTTGACAAGCTGCACTAAATGGCATTTGATCAAACTTCCTAGCTCTCATAGTTTCAGAGATAATGCAAAAAAAAATGTGTCAAAAACGTCACAGCGTTACGTTTGGACAAGCCGATATACGAAAAAACAAATCCTTTTTATTTTGACATAGATTGTACTAAGTTTCTTCAGATAGTTAAAGATTGAAATGTGTAGTGATTATTGCATGAAATATTGATGATATTAGTCGTAAAATTATATATTTCTGTCCTTTACCTTTACTTTTCTTTCTAACCAAGAAAGTAAATGGATCAATTTGAAAGTAAATCAACAATTTTGAATATGCTAGAAAGAAAAAAAAATGTTTTTGTAAATTCAATTGGTTTAATTATCTGATTGTTTTAATTTAAATATCTTGAGATGTCTCAGTAAAACGTAATATTAAAACACAATTCATTCATATAGATCAAAATGAATTAATTGCTTGATTTTTCTTTTTATTGTTTTACGTTTTACTTCATAATTAAATGAAGTTTCTCAACACTTGATATTATTTATTGGTGACGTTAGTATAAATTAACTGAAACGTTTTATAAATTTTCCCATAAATTTTATTCAAAGAGAAAAGAGTCAAATTCTTGAGGTACAATTTAAAATTAACAGTCTGTCTAAGAGGTTGAGAGTGACGAGTCCATGTCTACATACAGAATTAATTTTATATCTAGTTTCCATTAAGCTTTGAGACTGAATACAAAATATTCTAACTTAGCCTATATATTTCACTTTTTATTCTTTAATCTAAAAAGCGTCATTTCAAATATATAAAACAAAATAGTCTTACGAAAAAGAAAAGAATATCAATCAACATATGTAAATAATTGTTAAAGTATGACACTTTTCATAAGATAAGTATAAATAAACAGCATTAACTAAATTCTAATCACAATCATCGTTCATTATTTCGATGTTGTTGTTAATTCATAGTTCTGATATAGTTCAATATGTCGCCTTATCAATATATCGACGATACAAAATGGTTTTTTACCTCAACATATGTTGATCTCCAAGCTGAACAATATGATTGTCACACAAACATTTCATTTTTGTAACAAACTGAGAGGGTGTCCCTTGTGCCTATCGGCAGAATAGTGCATTTTTTCATCTGTTCATCTCTAATTATTCACTTTCTTCATTTACATCTCTTTGTAGAGCAGAGAGGACGATCACGCATGAAGGAACATCACAAAAGATAAAACAATCACGAAATGCAATAATAAGAGATAATCACAAGGTCAATGCGTTAACACACGAATATAGAGAAAATAATGGCGTACATGAAGTGAAGTTTAATGGTCAATAATCGTTATAGTTGCACCATTACAACAGTGCACATATTGGTTCAAACGGTGAATATATTCAAAAGACTTGACCGATTCAATTCGACCCTGTGTAGCGACAAATTTTTCCGCTCATGAGCTAAAGACATTACCAATCGAATGAAAACAAAAAGAATCATAATTAATATCTTTCGAGAAAAGTTTATTACTACAGTTCCACGAAGGCATAAAATGTGAAACTTATATGACACTTAAAGTTTCTAACAGTAACAACTTTTATTTTAGTCTGTCATATTCCATATATGGTAATACTGAGAAGGAAAGATAAACTTTTCTTTCAAAATCTTTTATCTAGTCCTTTACAACAACTGATATTGAACAACATCTATGGCTTGTTTTGCTTGATTTTCTCCTGTAAAGATATAATGTTTTTAAAAGAACTGATAACTTTGACTTAATCTGTTTTAAAATCATTATTTAAAGTTGCCCCCTTTTCGGACGTGAAAATCATAAATTTTTCCGATTTTTTGTTTTTCATTTATATGTAAACATTAAAGTGTTCTCTGTCGATCTGTAAAAGAGCTTCTTTTGACAGTTTTTACACCTTGAAAAGAGTAATTTATGACAGTCTCTTATCTAAAAAAAACTCGTTTTTCATGTCGAGATTTATGAGATATTGTTCGACTTCAGTTTGAAATAGTTGATTGAGTTCATTTGAGATGCGATCAATAAGACGAAATCGAAAGTTTTCCACTTCAGACATTTTTTCTCAGACTTCTGTTTTGACTTTTGTCTTGAAAGAACAAACAATACAAGAAAACCCAAAAAAGATATACCCACCCCAAATAGTGTCCAGTACGTACAAAAATAAATTCCAACTCGATCTAACCTTGTCTTGGAGGAACGGCGGCGACAAGTTGGATCATTTTGCCCAATTCTGAAGATGTGGATATGGGTGTGGGTGTTGGTATGGGTCAGGAGAAGACAACACCCACACCATTCCAGAACTTGAAATTCTTTATCTTTAGGTATATGAAGAAGTTTTTTTATGATTTTGAGAGACGCGAGAAAATTGTACTGAGACTTACTACAATTTCTTCTGAGACATCCGTTAGAATAAGTCAATCATTTTATGAAGACCAGCTATTCAGTGATTTGAAGGTCTAAAATCAACAGTTCGACTTTCTGTTCAACGTTGAATCTTATTCCATTAATATCATAGAAAATTGTAGTGATATTTATAGCTGATCTAAGGAAACATTTAAATACTTCGAGATAATGCATATAGCGTGATAGATGAGCTTTGAAAAATGTCAAAAGGAGTAATGTAGAGAATCAATATAGCGAAAGGCAGAATATCGAATATGGAAAGCAGAGAAGAGAAAAATTTCGAAAATGAACTTTTTCCTCATTGTAAAATAACAAGGAGATATTTTATTTAATAATATAGAAAAAAATATTATTCAAATTACGAATGGATCGTAATCTTGTTTTTTTTGTCCCAAGATCAATAAAGTACATTCGGTCAGCAGCTGTTTCGAATTTCATTATTTTTAAACCTACTATTCAGTGTTTCAAATCGCCATTGAAAAATTGCTTTTTTCGTTGATTGCTTCGAATCCAATGCAATGGAAGGGCTGTAACTGTGAGTATAGAAAAGATTCAAGGCAACACTCACATCTAATGTTATACTTCAGACGTCGTCTGATATCACGATTGAATTCTAGAATACCTTGGATCAGTCAAATTTCTTTAGCTTCTTGTGAGATTTGACCTCATTACTTTATAATTGCAGTCCAATAATTCCATTGAACTACACTGTGATGTTGATAGAAGAGTCAAACGTGATATTCTTCCTGATTGAAACTAAGAAATATTTGAGATAGTAGCACGGATGTGCACGAGGAATATACTGCCTAAAAATTTTCAAATTCTGTGTGTTACTATCATCATTAGAATTCCTTGAGGTTCTTATGTTGATTATTGACTCTACATAAAACCTCCTATATCGCACCTCTTTTCCGTTGCCTGAACTATAACTTTATCGGAACATTTCCATCAAATCAGATGGCATTTCGAAAAAACCATAAAGTTATAGATCTTATCACAATATTAGGACTTGCTTTAAATCACACTGGGATAAATTTTGATTTTCATTAATTTTATACATCTTGGCTCAACTACCCTAATCAGCAAAGTAATCTGAAGCTTTTAAAGGTGTACTTCTTTTCCTCTAAAATAACGCTTTAAGTAATTGTTACTATCAATCTCAACATCGTGACTCGATTCAATTAGATCATAACATTTTATTTACATGTAGTGAACATTCTTATCGTAACAACAGCGGTTTCTGATAATGGAATAAAATCGAACAGCAATTTTAATCAGGAATTTTTTTATTGAAACAACGCTATTTTATCAAACTGTAGTTTCATCTATCAAAATATGTAATTTATGTTAATTTCATTTATTCTCTGTTCCTTTGTCCGATGTCCACAATATTTGACAGCTACTTGTTTATTTTTGTTCGAAGTAACACAACCTTGATTCACGTCACTCGTACGAAAAAGTTATAATTCACTCATATAGTTTATGTACATAATCAATACTATGAGCATATATTATGATTTCAGACGATAAATCAAGAAGCAGATGATAATGATAGTGCAAATGCTGATACAACACAATACCTATTAAAAAAAAAAAGAAGTGATAGCAAAAAAGAAAGTTTTTCTTCTATGTTATGTCTTACATCGAATCATTTTCCCATCTAAAATAAAAGTTTTGTCTAACCTTTTCTTTGCTCAACTTTATTCACCTACTTAATAATTGTACTTCCATCAACTTTGTAATCCCATAAACAAGCATTTCCCATATAGACATTTTCATCGTTTTTAGGAATAATCATTGTAGTAATAATTATTTTAAATGAATTATAAATTTCTGACAAAGATTTTTGGCAAGTATCAACGATCTGTCGATTCCATTTATCAACACTTTCCATATTAAATTGATTCTTATTGAGAATATTTTCCACTATATTTCGAATAATATCAGTAGTATAACTAACATCAAAACATTTCATATCAACTAAATCATGCAAATGATCTGCAGACATAAATATAAACTTTTCACTTTTTTTTTCGTTGATTAAGAAAAAAAAAGTAATAAATATAAATAGTGAAATGTTTTTGGCGGTGTTTTTTTTTTTTCTCTAATTTAATCTATTATATTCAGAATGACATCTTTGTGACAAGATACAAATGGTATTCACGGTTGGTTGCAAAGCATCCATTGAAACATTTACCAATCAGCTGATTGACAATGTAATAACGAATAGGACAAGACAATCATCGAGTCACCTGTTATGTGATCAAAAAAGTTCACACACGGACAAAATAGAAAACAAAACGCATCTATTACTTGTATTTATTAACTATGATGAACATAGTACGCTCTCGTCGGACAAAAATCTTATTTTTCTCATCATCATTTGCTTTAATTATCTATCTTCTTCGTCGTTATCGTCGATATCTTATACTAAATAAACATTTTAAACTTGCTCAGCCACAAAAAGAATCAATTCCTAATATTCTTTCATCATCATCCTCATCATTGATTTCAATCAACAAGCGATTTTTTAATCAACTGCTTGTAATTATTCGAATTCTAATTCCACGTTTACGTAGTGATACATTCATTTTATTGATTACACATTTAACTACACTTATTACACGAACATTTCTTTCAATTTATATAGCACGTCTCGATGGTACTATTGTTAAATCATTAGTACAAAGAAGTTCGCGTAAACTTATTCGTACAATTACTATTTTTCTTATTGTTGCTATTCCAGCTAGTTTTATTAATAGTTTAATTAAATATGCTGAATCAAAACTTGCATTAGCATTTCGTTCAAAATTGACTTCTTATGCCTATGAATCATATTTTCGTGTAAGATTTTTATTATTTTTTTTCATCTATAATATTTTTTTAATTTCAATTAATTTACTTAAAATAGAATCAAACCTATTTTCGTGTATCAAATTTAGATAGTCGTTTACTTACACTAGATCAAAATTTAACAGATGATATTGAAATATTTACATCAATGTTAACACATCTACTTTCTCAATTAACAAAACCATTTTTTGATATTGCTGTTATATCATGGACATTTGCAACTATGATTCAACAGAAAAAACGTGCACGAGGTCTTAAAGGTAGAAACAAAAGACATTAAGTTATATTTTTAATCGATTGTTCTGTTGTGTTTTTGTAAATAGAAGTTCCTATTTTAACAAGTATTGTTGTTTTTATGACATTTTGGGCACTTCGACAACTTTCACCACAATTTGGTAAACTTGTTTCTGAAGAAGCAAGACGACGAGGTTTACTTCGTTTTGCACATACAAGAATTATTGCTAATGCTGAAGAGATTGCTTTTTTTGATGGTCATGAAGTATATAAAAGAAAAAAAAAACAGATTTTTCATAGTATACAATTTTTAAATTATAAATAGGTAGAAAAAAAATGGATATTAAAATTATACAATCAATTACAAGCACAAACAAATTTAATTATTAAAAAAAGATTATGGTTTATTATGCTTGAACAATTTTTAATGAAATATTTTTGGCATTCATGTAACTATACATAAGTGTACAGCACTAGTAAAAATTATAGGACTAACGTATTTTTGATTTTTCGTCTACAGTACATAGCATTTCAATCAAATTCAAATACTGATAAAAATAGTTAATTAAATTCTCTATCAAATACTATTTAGACTAATATTCAAATTTGAATTAAATTCTTGATATTGTAGGAACAAGTCAAAAATAAGTTTGTCTTATATATGTGACCAGTATCTCATATATAAATGTATCCATTCTCTAATTTTCTATTTAGGCGGCATGATATTTATTGCTATACCATTCCTCACATATGATGGACCAACTGTAACAGATGGTATCTGGCATGTTTAAACTAATGTTTGAATATTTCGCTCTTTTTTATTATTATTAGATTTAGTAAGCGATCCACTTGGTATTAGTTCTCGAACAGAAGAATTTACAGTAAGTAAAAATTTATTATTATCTGGTGCTGATGCGTTCGAACGCATTATATCATCATATCAAGAAGTAAGATTTATTCAGATGAAGTCTTGTTTTTTGAATCGAAAGATTTCGCTAAGATTGCCGAATTAGCGGGACATACAAATCGAGTTTATAAAATGTTTCATGTTTTTGATGAATGTGCACATGAACGATATCAACGAATTCCTATGATAATAGGAGAACAGTCAAGCACGAGCATAAAACAAAAAGTTACTTTAAATCAGCAAGCAGGTTAGCTGTCACTTTTTTTTAGATTTAATAAAAATTATTACATTGTTTTTTTTTTAAATAGAAGGTCAAATTATTGAATCGGAGGAAGATATAATTGCTGAAAATATACCAATTATTACCCCAAATGGTGATGTTATTGTCGAAAGTCTTTCATTAAAAGTAAAATTTTTACATTAATCTACTCAACAATGTTTATACAGGATGTTCCGAAAGTTTGCTCGAAAATACATAAACCTATCTTTTTTTAATTTTATTATGGATTTTCGTTTTGAACTGAACAACATCGTTAACAAATGTTTTGTAAGAATTATTTCCTATATGTTCCTTTCAAATACGTTGAGTCGTGCCAGTTCCTCGAAAAAAATTGTTCGACAACTCGATTTTCTAACATCACACAAGGCATATTGCCTTTTCAAGATTGCATAATCATTTCAATAGTTCCATGAAATCTATTAAAGATTTCGTTAAGCTGAAAATGAAAATGTACAAGATCAAAAAAGATAGATTTATGTATTGCATTTTACAATTAAAGAAATATTTACGTTTCTTTTTCGATCGAACTCTTGGAACTCCTTGTATTTGTTTGCGTTAGATTACACCAACTATGCATGTGCTTATTACTGGACCTAATGGTTGTGGTAAATCTTCATTTTTTCGAATTATTCGAGGTTTATGGCCAATCTATTCTGGTTGTCTTCATCGACCAAATCCTTCAAAGCTCTTTCTCATTCCACAAAGACCTTATATGTGTCCAGGTACTTTACGTGATCAAATAATTTATCCACATACAATTGATCAAGTTCGTGTTGATGATGAACAACTAATAGAAATTCTTAATAATGTTGAATTAAAATATATTGTACAACGTGAAGGTGGTTTAAATATTGAACGTGATTGGAAAGATATACTTTCTGGTGGTGAAAAACAACGTCTTGGTTTAGCTCGAATTTTTTATCATAAACCAAAATATGCATTACTTGACGAATGTACAAGTGCCGTATCGATTGATGTTGAAGGAAAAATCTATGAACGAGCAAAACAATTAGGAATTTCATTACTTACAATAACACATCGACCTTCTCTTTGGTTAATAAAGTTTTGTTTTGATAGTTTAAATTTATATATTCTTTGTTTTTCTTCTTTTTTTGGAGGACTTATCATACACATCTACTTCAATTTGATGGTGAAGGTCGATGGAAATTTGAAATTCTTGATACAGAAAAACGTTTAACATTAAAAGGTGAGAAAAAACGTCTTGAATATCAATTAGCTGGTGTTCCTGAAATACAAAGACGCTTAAATGAATTATGCCAATTACTTGGTGAAGATACTACCGACAATCAGAACTAATATTATAAATACTGACAAATTGCTTTTTTAAATTATATTTCTTTTCATGTAAAGTATTTGAATGATATAAAATAAAAAGGATTTAACTTTTTTTTTTTGTATGTAATTACCAAGGTATTTGAAAAGTCAAAAAATATTGCGTGTTAGATGATGAAACGGATGTAAAAATTGATGTATTTCAAATTCATTTGATTAAAATGAACATTTTCATTCCATTTGCTTGATTGAAATGTTCATTTTAATCAATGAAACTAAAATACATCAATTTTTTTATGTCTGTCTCATCATCTAAAATGCCATTTTTTCTCTATTTTTTATATGAAAATTCGTCAAATTTTTTAATTTCGTGGGTATCTAATAATCAATTTAACAATATTGCTATCATTCAGCATGTAATTTATCAAAACAAGGTGATAAATATAATGAGCAATCAAATATGCTTGAATATTAGCTATTTCATATGTTTCGTAACTACGTTACTTCCATACTCCTACACAAGAAAGAATTTTTGATTATATTTTATTGTAAAATAAAAAAAAAAGATGTTAATTTTATTTTAAAATTTAAATAGAGACATAATAAAACGTCAGTTCACACTCTCTGTGTGATAATTGTATCATTTTTTTCATCACCTTTTTGTCCCTTTCTCTCTCTCTCTATTTCTTCCTACTGCTGATGTATTTATTTTAACAACAAATGCTCACTCTTTTCTATTCTTTGAATACAAGCAACTGATTCAAGTGTGTTTTCTATCTAATTCGAAAAAAGTAAGTCTTTCAAAATGAAGAAACTAAATCATTTCATATGACTTGTTCAGATCATGTATCAATATACATTATTCATTTTATCAGTCGTTGTTATACAATTAAATTATGCCTGCTATATTACGAATTGTCCTATTGGTGGCAAGCGTAGTTTACTTGCCAACAATATGCTTCATTCTCATCAAGTTAGAAATTGATCTAACATTTTTTTTTTTGATAAATTATTTGTTTTTCATCATTTTAGTGTCCGCGTTGTGGACTCAATGGTCAGTGTTTTGGACCTTCAATTTGTTGTACAAGTTTAGGCTGTCGTATGGGACATCCATCTGATATTCGTCAATGTTCAATTGAAAATCATAGTGTGATCCCATGTACTATCAAGAGTACAACTTGTTCGGTTTTATCTAATGGTCGATGTGCTCCCAATGGACTCTGCTGTAACTCGGGTATGTTATTGACCTTCATCGAAATCTTGTAAGAATATTAATCTTTTAGAATCATGCCAAATGGATGAAACTTGTTCAATATCATCAACGGAAGATGTTGATAATTTACAAGACAAATCACGAGTTTTATGATCATCAATGAAAAATCCTTTATTGTTTCTTGATTCTAACTCTTTGTATAACAATCTGAATATATTTAAAATAAAATAAATAGTCGAACAAAAAAAAAAGACGAAAGAACAAGATTGAATTTGTTCCTATTTAAAAGAGAAAATTAACAGGCTATCAACATGAAATTCGCACATTTTTAAAACCTTGTTAGATGTCACTAGTTTGCCTTATTCTTTTCATGATACGTCAACTGTAGAAATTCAAATGGATTCATATGAGCCATTGAAAACACGTAGAATATGTCTTTATTCTTTAGTTAAATCGAATTAAGCATATTAGAAGATTGTTATTTCTTGTTAATTGACATGTCTCGGCAATATTCAAATCATTCATTTATTCCATCTAATCATCATCATCATATGTCATCAGATAATTCATCTAGACAACGAGTTCGTCCATCGACACAAAATGATTTTTCTTATTTTCAATATCCATCTCAACGACAAATTTTCGAATCAAATCGAGAAATAAATAATACTAATCATCATTCAACATTACCTTTTAATCGTATACCAGTAATAAACTATTTATTGAATAATTAGTTTAACTATTTTCTAATAAATTTACTTTAAGACTGCAGTAACAACGTCAGCATATACTCCACATTATCATTTTGAAAATCATAATGAAACAATATTACGAACATCTCATCATAATAATCATACAAAACGTCAACGACGACCATCAACTGCTGGTATATCAAATTCTCAAACAAATCAACATCATCATGAACGAAAACGTTCAAGATATGATGGAAATGAACGAGAACAACATAATCGTTCATATATGTAAGGCAGTGATTTACAAACTATATTCTTTCTAATTTTTATTCTATAGAAATCATCGATCTAGACAACCACAACAAACTAATTCTACAACTCATAATGTTCCTTCTTTTTGTCGTTCATTTCATTACGGATCACATAATCATTCTAATCAAGCACCTCGTCATTTTCATCATGAATCATTACGTAGTATTTCAAATTATCGTCAATCAATACCTTTTTCTAATGCAAATCAACATCGGCATGGAATGACATTTGAATCAACATCACATCGTCCTCCATTATTTCATCGAACATCAATGACTACTCACGTATATCAACGATCTTCGCCTTCTTTTCTTATTACTAATTTACTTCAGTAAGTGCATATATAGGATGGCTCAAAAATTCCTTTACCGAGAAGAAATTGAATCTTGCCACCATATTTTGTCTGTTCAGAGACTTTTAGAACAATCTGTATTTATAAAATATTAAAAATAATTTTTCATTATTTTCTAGTCATGTTATTGATACACATGTACATCATCATCTACCATCAGCATCATTTGATTTGATTGCTTATGCATGGATGTCTCCTAGTCATGAAATATTTTCTTTACCAACTGCATTTACTATTCATTTTGCTGTAAGTAATTTATTTATATTCTTTGAATTTATAACAATGTCTATATAGGAGTTTTTCGATGTGATTATTCCCGATGAAACACCAATGATTGGTTTAACTGACAGTGAACTTAAAAAAATACCGACAATGATTTATAAAAAAACTTGTACAAATATTAAAGATGATGATAAATGTGCTATATGTTTAAGTGAATATATAACTGATGAAAAACTTAAACGTTTACGATGTAAACATTATTTTCATAGTGAATGTATTGATCCATGGCTTAAGGTAGATTTTTCACTGATAGTCTTAAGATTTTTATAGAATAAAATTTTTTTCATTCTAGACATCAGCTCGATGTCCAATTTGCCGAGGTGAACAGACAAATTAAATAAATTTCTTCCGGATTCTTTTTTTGCCCAGCGTTGTATATTTTTCTTTAAATACCAGATAAACACAATTTGCATTATTACTGTTGTTTCTTTTTGAACTATGAATATATTCTATGTTTTTTTTTTCATATATGTATCCAAGGACTTGTTTGTTTTTCTCATTTTGGTGTGTCTATTGTTGTCTTTTCTTTTGTATAGAAAGAAAAAGAATTACATGTTATTGTTTTCTTTTCCTGATTTCTCATATTCTCTTTGTGACTTGTTTTATATTCATAAGAAAATTTCATACAAAAATAAATCATATTAGAGAGAAGAATGATTTTTAAGATCCTTTAATAACTGTGGAGAAGTATAAAAATTAGCTTATTACATGTATTCTATCTGTAGTATTTTTGTTAACATATATTCAAATTCTTTATTGATATATTCGAAATGATCTAACTAAATAAGGATCACATATGACTTTCGATTTATAGCAACGAGTTGTGACAACTGTGTAGACTTAATGCACAAAAGAATCAAAATATTTTGGTTTAATATTATGAGCAGCATTGAACAGATGATTTTTAGTTTCTAGTTTTTTCTGCATATCTCATTACTTTATTTGACGAGAAAAAAGCTTCAACTGTTCAATCATTTATTCGCCTAAAACACATATAAGTGCATACATCAGAGGCGATCATAAGGCAGAATACAACAATAAATTTTCCTGTGCTAACATTCTTTATGGACAATCGCTTGAGAAAGATTTTCTGACTAATAACGTTGAAATTGACCAGTTGGATAGATACAGAGAAAAAGGTAACTCTTCATGGGACTCGAACTATGCACTTTGTGCTGTTCGAATAGATGTGGTGTTTCCCTTTATCCATAAGATCATCCTCATCGTTTTGCAATTATATTGGTGCTTGATTGATATTTTTGGTTTTATAAAGAACAAGTACTTTCACTCTCCGATAGAATACTTGATCAGGTTCAATGCATCAATCGAGTTCATTTGTCAATCGTAAAGAGGTGTTGTTTTAATCTATCTTAGTAAAAATGAAAATATAACGTTGTAATCTTCTGTCGCTTGAATCAATAGCCGATATACGTTTCAAATCAAAATATGTATCAAAAGAATTCGAGAAAGATACACAAACTATCAATCGACTAAATGATTACAGTCCCGATGTCACAAAAACTGGACCATTTTTAGCTGTAAACCTTATTGGCGATCATAATGAAATTTTGGGTTTGACTGTGATCCAATGGTTCAACTCCATTCGCAATACCATTCGGCAGAATATCGGAAAATTTGTGTGAATAGAAGACAACATTAGAACTCCACGAACGAATTATGAAAATGATCCACTAAAAAGAGAAAATAACAGTAAAACTATTGATGATAAAGAGACACTAACTTTTGATATGCATGATGTATTCATCATGATAGCTTTCCGTGATTTTGAATCATTTATTGGTAGTTCACTTATTGCTCGACGTGAAGTATTCTAAGTATCAAATATATTCCTTGTTATATGACTTCTATTATTGATCTCTTACACGAGCAAGTATCTTTTGGTAGTTATCCTATATGAATGACAGCAAATCAATAATGATGGAAGTTTCAAACAAATTATACATTCATGAATGTCAACTGCAATAGAGTATTCAAGTTGGAAACGATAAGATCAGTGTCTGTACACATCATTTGTTTAGAGATGTTTAAAAACAATCGAATGATGAAATCGAAGAGTACGAAACATGACAGGAACACAGTGATTCAGTCTTCATGATTAAAACACAGCCCATCGGGATGAACAGTATCCATATCATCAAGCGATACTTTCATACTGCGCAAACAGCTGGTAATAGTCAAATAATACAGATGTTTAGGGAGGCAATAAGATGATTTGAAGGAAAAAATGCAACATTGCGTTCGATCACATGTGTTAATTATGCATGCAAAGTATTTTAAGATGATCCAGTATTGTTTTCTTGTTTTGTTGCATAAAATCGAGTGAGAATGATTTCCATAAAAAATTATCGTATAAATTGTTATCTAGGAGAATCATGCTTTTGTAAGATAATTTTACTTGGTGAACCAACCGCTCCTTTTTTGGCAAACATCAATTAGATGAGAAGAGGAATGAAGGACAAAATATAGAAGAGATCTACCTTTTTTCATCTTTGTTTTCTCATAAGATTCATAATTTTCACGCGTTCTTGTTGTATCAAGGCATTGGCCTCGTCAAATGATTTGAATGCATTGATTGGTTTCAATTTTTCTTTAGTTGCGTTAGCATTTTTTTACAAGGTGTTTGTGTTGTTGGTTCTTTTTCTGCTTTAGCTTTTTTTTCTTTAATCTATTATTGATCGAAAGATTCATTGACATTTTCGAAAGAAAACGTGTTCGTCGTAGTTGATATTTAAAAAGGCGACAGATGAATTTGTTAAGGCAATAAAATCGTCTATCAAATAATCAGAAAAATCTTTTGGATAGTTTCAGAGAAGAATATATTGAAATTTGATTGAATAGGGTCAGTGGTGATGAATCAAGTCTAAAACAAGTGACAAATAAAATCAAGATCTTTTTAATCGTCAAGAATAAGTGATCCATGGAGCACAATCTACGCTTTGAAAACAAAATTGATTGATCGTGTGAACGAGTTTGTCTTGTGGAACCCGATGTAAAAGGTGTGTTGAAGTATAGAAGTAGAAATTCGGACCCATTCCTTGCTCCCCAAGGACCGTAAAGAGCATCCCACCAACCCATTATAGACCATGATGAGCATCTCAGTAATTGTCTTCTTGAAATCGCGAATAACAGTTATATAACAAAAAAATAGCTTTCGATTAGTACAGTGCTCAGGTGAAAAAAGCTGATCAAGGCTATGTACGGCGGTAAGAGTGAGTTGTTTGATCTTTTCTACACTCATGCCCATCCTACACATCAGATTATTTATTTATATATAGGCAAAAGAAATGAGAAAATAGTTATCGGGCAGTTTGCTTTATCAACTAAGATGCCATGATCAAAGATGTCGTTAACTACTATGTTTCACATTCATTGGATGTGGACATTGGTGTGAAGTGAGTGCGCGTGTGTGTATAGATATGCACTACGATTGAATACTTCTCAATTTAACTAAATAGATAACAGGTTATTTTTCGTAGCATGAATAACTGTTTTGGTTTACTATTTGAACCATTTGTGAAAACGGTGAAATAGCATTCAGAACAAAGTCAAAGCTTTCATACAATGTTTCAAAATTCTTTATTTTGATTCAGAAGGTTCTAAAATACGATGAAGTTCACCTAACCAGAAGCATCTTTTTGTTTATCGTAAATTATAGATCATTGTTAGTCAACGCATATGGGTGAATCCATGGGAAACGCACCACATTTACATCGACTTTCTCAGAATTGACTGAAACTTTCAGAGTTTGTAGAACTCAATGAGCTGATCATTTTGGTAATAAATTGTTAAATGTTTGAATATAGACTCTGATTCAAATAAGCAAAATACGATTTTCGAAATTTCGGGAACAACATCGTCAAACTGAAAAGTTCTAGTTTTTGCGCGAAGGTTTTCTTTTTAATTTTAGGATCAAAAGAAAACATCCTATATATATTCTGATAGCCGGCGTTCAGCTCTATCGAACCACACATGAGTCAAGTCGTTCAGCTTCCAAAAGTGAAACTTTTAATGGAAGCCCAATAATTTCACTGCTACGAAAATTTTGTCTTCGAATAAAAAATCTCTTCCGAATTTGGGTGAAAGGTGGTATACTAGATTTTGTAGAGCGTCGCTCGCTCTATCTTCTGGTATAAAGGACTGTTAAACCGGTTTCCATTTTCGCTCCTTAGAAAGTCAAGACATTTATCCATTAGCTTTGTTTTACAATTTTGAGCTCTTATTTCGGAAAGTTTTTAGTGAAATACTCGATGGATTAGTCTGAAAATTTAAATCCAGATAGGTCTCAACTAGTAGAATAAAAGTCATGCGAGATTTTACAAATTATCATATTGTCTTTCACATCCTCTTATAATAGTAAAATGACAAAACCGTTGTTTGAGCAGTTCAACGCTCAAAAGAGAGAGGGAGCATATTAGAAGCCAGTTCGACCCGTTTGGAGTTTTTTGTCCAACCCCATTGAATCTTATACCAATACTAACAGCATGTTGAAACAAACATTTCGACACTATCTTCATGATATTTTGACAGAACTTTTGGAACAAAAAGCCATTAACGAAGCAACTCACTTTTCGGTCATTTGTCTAATAACCTACTCTATTACGGTCAACTTATTGTTAGAGTAAATTCAAAAGAAAAGATACCTGTAAAAATTCAGTATTTGATAGTGTTTTAATAGGATTTTAATCCTATATATGAATGAATCAGTGATTATTTGATTCAATGGGGAGGAACCTCGTATACTGTTAGACACTGTTGATATAGGTCCTATATTTATGATCAACTCTTATTTTTCAACAAATATTTTATCATAAAAATTCAAATGAGAAAAATTCTAGCATGGTTCATTGAATAAGTCTTTTGAAAAGCTACAAAAACCGTATATTTTGAAAGTCTACAACATTTGGCCACTAGGAAAATTTTTAGTCACGTTGTGCTTTGGGAACGGTTTTTTTTCACGTTGCTGTCCACTTTCGGCTGGTAATGAGCTGTTCTTTTTCATAAAGATAAGCCCGGTAAAGGTCAAAACTAATATTAATTCGAGCTCAATACCGAAAATTGAGTCGATTTTTGTATCTTTCAAACATCTCTAAGAACTTTCATTTTTCTAGAAAACCTTTTTCATACTCACCCTCTGGGTGCCCTCAACAAGTGGCTTCTACCAGAATAAAGTTTTTACCGTTTAGTCATCTGTCATTTCACTTAAAGTATTATTTAAGAAGCGATAGCACTTCATTCCGCGCAGCACATAACGTTTTTACTAGAAATTACTGTTTTCTTGAGAGTATCCTAACGGAGAACAGAAGACCAATTTTCGAGAAAAATGAAAATTCTCAAAGATATTTGAAAGATACATAAATCAATCCGGTTTCTGTTAGTGTTCTCTTTCATCCAAATCTCCTATCCTCTAAATGTTAATAGGTCGAAAGAAATCAATAGAAAACTAACATCTGTATTAGCTAGGTTAGTGGTGTTAGTTATCCCACTTTAATTTGTAGATTGATATAATAAAGAAGATAATATAGGTTCAGATGGTGAATATATATTTTAGTCAAGGAAAACGCATGACCCAGATAACAAAAATAAACAACTAAACTACTGGGGAAAAACTTGTTCATATAGCTGAACGAGAGAGAGAGAAAGGAATAGTATAGACATATATGTATATGCTGGGGAAACATCGAACCTCACATAGGTTAGATAAAGGAGAACGAAAAGAATGAAAAAGGTTAGCAGCAACAACATAACATCTGTTGACGCTAACAGTTTCCGATGCTGATTCCGGTCCGGATATTGGTCTAACTCAGAGTAGACTGTTCTCTATTAAAAAGATTTTTCAACTGGTTAAAAATGGGTGAAAACGTGCCAAAAAACAGAATCCCGAGCACAACACGGCTAGGAACTTTCTTATTGGCCACAGTTTTTAGACTTTCAAAATATATCTATTAGTTGAGACCTATCTGGATTTAAATTTTCAGACTAATCCATCGAGTATTTCACTAAAAAATTCCAGAAATATCAGCTCAGAACTGTCAAAAAAGCTAATAGATAAATGTTCCGACTCTCTAAGGAGCGAAAATAGAAATCGACTTAACAGTCTTTTATGCCAAAAGATAGAGCGAGCGACACTCTACAAAACCTAGTATACCACCCTTCAGCCAAATTCGGAAAAGATCTTTTATTTGAAGACAACATTTTCGTAGCAGTGAAATGATTGGGCTTCCATTAAAAGTTTCACTTTTGGAAGCTGAACAACTTGACTCATGTGCGATTCGATAGAGCTGAACGCGGGCTATCAGAATATATATAGGATGTTTTCTTTTGATCCTAAAATTAAAAAGAAAATCTTCGCGCAAAAACTAGAACTTTTCAGTTTGACGATGGTTTTCCCGAAATTTCGAAAATCGTATTTTGCTTATTTGAATCAGAGTCTATATTCAAACATTTAACAATTTATTACCAAAATGATCAGGTCATTCAGTTCTACAAAC